GTGGCTTTTCAGAAAGGCTGACTATAGCTAAATGAAAACAAGCCTAGTGAAGTCCTTTATTGAACCAACTGGAGAATATTATTATTATTTTGACGCAAACAATGTAATCTGATTAGGATCCTTTAGCAAGGAGGTCTCTGGTAAGGCACCAAACTTGAGAGTTGCCAAGTCACCAGGAAAAAAAATGGCCTTGTGTGCCGCTGTCCCTTGAAGAGCTGCTTGATGGTCAGAACTCAACAGAACAATTTTTTTCACAGCATGGTAGTCACCTGCTAATAATGTCTGCAGCCCAAACTGCCGCTGTAAAAAGTACAGGAGCAGTGGGCCTAATCTTAAATTTGGCAATCTTAAATTTGTTGGCCTTCTTTGCTTAACTCCAGTGACCCTTGTCAAATTAAATTGGGATCTGGAAAAGTTGAGGGCTGAAGCTTTTTCTCCTTGTCCCTTCTCCTTTTCCTGGGAAGAGAATAATTAATAACTCCAGTTGCTTTTATTGACCTTTCATCCGCAGGAGAGTTTCTGCAATGCTTGCAAATTTGCTGCCACCCTCTCAATGCAGCTGGTACGCAGGATGAGACCCTACCTGCCCGCAGACTGTCTCACCAGAGAAGTGCATGCTCTAGTTATCTCCCGCTTGGACTACTGCAACATGCTCTACATGGGGCTACCTTTGAAGGTGACCTGGAAACTACAACTAATCCAGAATGTGGCAGCTAGACTGGTGACTGGGTGCGGCCGCCAAGACCACATAACACTGGTCTTGAAAGATCTACATTGGCTCCCAGTACTTTTTCGAGCACAATTTAAGTTGTTGGTGCTGACCTTGAAAGCCCCAAACGGCCTCGGCCCAGTATACCTGAAGGAGTGTCTCCACCCCCATCGTTCTGCCCGGACGCTGAGGTCCAGCTCTGAGAGCCTTCTGGTGGTTCCCTCATTGTGAGAAGTGAGGCTACAGGGAACCAGACAGAGGGCCTTCTTGGTAATGGCACCCGCCCTGTGGAACGCCCTCCCACCAGGTGTCAAAGAAATAAACAACTACTGGTATATGACATTTAGACGACATCTGAATGCAGCCCTGTTTAGGGAAGTTTTTAATGACTGATGTTTTACTGCATTTTTAATCTTTGCTGGAAGCTGCCCAGAGTGGCTGGGGAAACACAGCCAGGTGGGCGGGGTATAAATAAATTGTTGTTGTTGTTATACATCTCTTCACGGGCATTGGGCTTTACAAGAATGTACAAATGATCTGCGTCCCATGAACTTGTTGCAGAAGATGGATAGGGCCGGATGTTTCAGGAACAGCAGCAGGTAGGAAACAGGGCAATTACAGTGTGGTCCATCCCTTGTTATTCATTCTCATCTTCCCACAATCTGCACTTTGGAGAACACCTTGAGGAATGAGGTTACATGCCAGAACTATCTTGATGAATAATGACTGATGGGCTTCTGTTTCTCAAGGACATGTTTTGTCACGAATTGTACTTAGTTTCCTGTGATGGAGCCTAAGAGGGAGAATTTTTGGTTCATGTCACTTAGCGACAGTTCCAAAAGCTGGTTGCAAGAAGCCACAACAGTAAAACAGGCACATAGCACTGTTTCAGCAGTAGAAATCAACAATCTATGCTGACATTCTGTGTGTTCATTGACACCTGGAAGGACAGATCATCTCTGAGACTGAAGGAGTATAATTACTGTTTATATACCGCTGTAATGAAGCCAGGCCATTAAGACTGGGGTGCTCCTGACCTCGTGGCCTGATCTTGTGCTTGTCTACTTACAAGTAAGTCTGCCATCCCCAACAGTGGCAGCTTTTGTTTCCTTGCATCAACAAAATATAGGAATGAAGTGAAGTTACGGGGAACCAGGCAGAGGGCCTTCTCGGTAGTGGCACCTGCCCTGTGGAACACCCTCCCACCAGATGTCAAGGAAATAAACAACTATCTGACTTTTAGAAGACATCTGAAGGCAGCCCTGTTTAGGGAGGTTTTTAATGTTTGATGTTTTATTGTGCTTTTAATTCTGTTGGCTGGGGAGTGGCTGGGGAAACCCAGTCAGATGGGCAGGGTACGTACGTAGAATGAATGAAGAAAGAAAGAAAGAAAGAAAGAAAGAAAGAAAGAAAGAAAGAAAGAAAGAAAGAAAGTTTACTGCTTGCCCCATCTTGAGGACTCTGGCAAGACAGCAAGTAAAAGACCACAAAATTCCATGGAAACAGAATAAAATTTAGTCAGAAGAAATGCTGTCCCTCCCCGCAAGCTCTCTACATATTAATTTGTATTTACAACATTTTCATGCTACCCTGGTTTGTGGGATCTCAGTGTCCTTTAAGACCAGATTCCTGAGTCAAATTCTACCAGTACCAAGACTTACAGGCCAAGAGAGAGGAGAGAGAGACTGAGAATTGAATTAGTAAATCTGATTTGACATTCTATTTTTCTCACTGAGAAATACTATATTTTGCATAAAAGATTTCTGGCCCAGATGCAGAACAGCCTTCTGTTGTAAACTTATCCAGCAAAAATGTCCAGGAAACATGCAGTAGGCAGGTTTGCCAGGCAGTCACAGCAGACACTGTTCATGTAGGATAATATTCTGCCTGCTGGAGTTCATGGTGGGACTCATATAAGATTATACAAGAAAAAGGCGCCGCTTTGATAATATACACCAGAATAATTATTCCTTTGATTTTAGGAGGGTGCAGCTGTATGTGGTCAGTGAATCACAACCCTCATGAACTCCTTACTACATAATTACTAGCTTTTGTTCTTTAACTTAAACAAAGAAATTGACATCTGTTAATGAGTTGGGTGAACATCCGCCTCCCGTTTGTACTTTGTACTTCCTGGGGGGAAAGAATACACAATCCTAGAAACTGGGCTTTTAGTGTTATAGCTCCAGCCTTCTGGAATGAGTGAAATTAGACTAATGCCTAGTGTCTTGGTATTTAGGTGGCCACTGAAGATGTTTTTGTTGGTTTCCCCGATCCATCCGTCTTACGGAATTTTAATTGTAGAAACAGTTTTTTCGTTTAACAGTAGAAATGGTTTTGTTGTGTTTAGAGCTTAATCTTTATGTCATTTTATTTTATTCTATGTCACTGGTAGCTGCAGGCAGTGTCGTGGTTTATAAATCTGCAAAATAAATGAATAAGCAGCAGCTAAAGGAACTATGTCACTGATGAAATAACTCAGCAGATGCCAGGCTGATCTCTTTTATGCTGGTGTCCGCCATCACGATGGGGCGGCTGCCAACTCCGACAGACACAGCATCTCTGCAAACAGACAGCATCCCTGCTCACCTTATTGTCACCAGTCACAACACTGTGCACTGACGTGCCCACATCACCCATGTACAGAGGCACAAAATCAATGCCCAGTGGCCAAGCAACCCCACGTCGTCCCCCAGCCCAGCCCACACTGTCTCCATGCATGACGAAGCAGCCTGAGTCCCCTGGGACCCCAGCACCAGGCGATGCACCCAGGACAGTTCTGTATTGGGCTCTTCACCTTTCCTCCTCGCAGTGCTACATTTGGCCTTCACACAAACAGCTGCTGGAAGCTTTTGTCTTAGTGGATTCTTAATCATGACCCAGATTCCCTCCTAAGTCCAGGTCTTCCCCACCACCTTAGGCCAGAGCCAGCTGAGCTGGGCTCATTAAGACCAGCCTTTTCCAGAGATGTGTGTGTGTGTGTGTGTGTGTGTGTGTGTGTGTGTGGACCTTTGGCCACTAGGAGGTTGGGGTTGCCTGGCATTTGTTCACTGTAACCAAAGACCATTAGGGCAGACCTCACTTCCATAGGTGCCCACCTATGGCTCCACTTGGGATCACCTTTGGACCTGGGGATGATGGAGACCTTGCACTGTTTTCATGTTCACAGAACCCTTTCCTTCGGTTCATAATGAATGTGAGAATTCGTCCGTGGTGCAGAGGGAGAGGGTGGGCATCGCTCTCAAGGCCACCAAGATGGAGAGAATGGGCACAGAATGACAACCCCCCTCCCCTCTCATAATACCACGAGTAAGGAGCGCCCAAGGAAGCAGACTGCAGCAGCTGGCTTCAGGATGGACTAGAAGGACTTCTTAAGAACGCAAGTGGAGCCTTCTGGGTCAAGCCAAGGAGCACTCGTCTAGTCCAGCAACCTGTTCTCACAGGGTACACCTAGATGCCTCAACAGGAAACCCGCAAGCAGAACTCCAGCATCTAAGAGCACTCTCTCCTCCTGCAGTTTCCAGAAACTGGGATTCAGAAGCACTACTGCTTCCAATTGTGGAGGCCGAGCCGAGCCATGGCTAGCAGCCACCAGGAGCCCTTTTCTCCACACAGTGCTGCTTCACTTATTAGCTTTCGATACTGTGAGAGAGGTGGCAGACCCCAGCTTTTGTAAAGGCGGTGTGTGTGTTTTAAGGGCTAGGTAAGTCTATGCAGGAGGTGAGGAACGCAGGAACCTGCACTGTACTGAGTCAGATATTTGGGCCCCCTACCTCAGTATTGAAGGGACGTGGGTGGTGCTGTGGGTTAAACCACAGAGCCTAGGAAGGTCAGCGGTTCGAATCCCCACGACGGGGTGAGCTCCCGTTGCTCGGTCCCTGCTCCTGCCAACCTAGCAGTTGAAAAGCACATCAGAGTGCAAGTAGATAAATAGGTGCCGCTCTGGTGGGAAGGTAAATGACGTTTCCATGCGCTGCTCTGGTTCGCCAGAAGCGGCTTAGTCATGCTGGCCACATGACCCGGAAGCTGTACGCCGGCTCCCTCGGCCAATAAAGCGAGATGAGCGCCGCAACCCCAGAGTCGGCCACGACTGGACCCTTTACCTTTTTATCTCAGTATTGTCCCCACTGACTGGCAGAGGCTTTCTGGCAGTGGCTCTACATGAGAGGCAGGTCGGCCACATAACACATCACCACACAAGGGCCACTTTGTGCATTAAAATCTGTGCAGAGACGGCCCTTATTTAAAGTATCCCCTTCAACCCATTAAAAACAGACAACAGCAAAGTATTATGAAAAAGTGTACTTCACTCATTTAAATAACTATAATTCAGCGTATTAAGGAAGAAATAACTGGCAATCAAATATAAACACTTTACGTAAATCAAATTAATTTAACCACACAATAAATTAATACATTAAATATTAACTTTCAGTGCAACATATACAGAAGAAACAAGTGTACCGCTGACTAAAAATAATCTTCAGGTTGGTTATAACAGTAAACGTACTTACAAAAAAAGAGGGGGGGTTGTTAACAATATAACCAGAAGTCAACACACAATCAGGAAGGGGGTGTCTAGTTCATTTATCAAACATGTGTCTAATGTGAAAAATTGGCACAGTTCGTCCATTTTATTTTTTAAGAAACATACATACAGATCCTGCTTCTGGTTAAGTATCCAAATTGAAACAGAAGCTCAGGTGGGATCAGATCACAAAGCTCAGGGCTAAAAGGCCATCTCTAATTTCTCAAAAGCATTGCAGGGTACAATTGCAGAGAAACGTACAAGCCAGCTCGTTTATTCAGACTGCAAGTCACTTTTCTGCCTATTCCTTCTTCCAGTGAAAAAAAGGAGCACAGGGTCACATTCTGCAAAAGGTATTTAAAAACAATGCTTTCACAGGGCTGACAAGCCACGCTGCAGCACAAATAAGAGCGAAGTCCTGGGACTGGGACTCCTGTAGGCCCAAAATGGGACTTGGGGTAAAGGTATCCCTTGAAGAAGGTCTGAGATATCTGGAGTCCTTACGGCAGCCATTTGCAATCTGGTGCCCTCCAAATGTTTGGGTCTGCACCTCCCCTAGGTGTATTGTGCTGGGAAGGAGGGAAGATGTGGTCCAAAACATCTGGAGGGCGCCAGCTTGGGAAAGACTGCCTTTCGATGGGGAAATTCCTACCCAAGTGAATTGCTCTTCCTTAGTTTTGTGGCAATCAAATGACCCTGACTGCACCTCAAGAGTGCAAAAGTCCAAGATGTTTGCCAAAATCTTGTGAACTTCATTTTTCAAACAAGCTGGAGTAATGCCCAGTTTAATAAATCAGCATTGGGGAGGAAAGGAGTTTAGGGACAATATTTTTTAAAAAACTCATTTTTCCTTGAAGAGCTCAATTCTCCTCCTCAGGACCGTCAAAGAAATATTTGTGCTGAATGACAAATAAAAAGGGATCGGGCCTTTTAAACGTAGCACAGAATGTCGTAAACTTTAGAACTAAAACTAACCTGCCTATAACTATTTCTTGAAAGGTATCAATCAGATTGGCTCTGGCAGCAATCAGGGGTTTTAGACAACATCATCAAGTAGGAACATGGATAGGGAATGGAATGGAAATAAAGGAAACCAAACTGGCAGGATTGCTTCTGCCATCCATTACCAGGGTGGGGGAAAGGAAAGCTAGAAATTTCACAGAAGAGGTTTCAACTTGCATCTTAAATTTCAATTATTCTGCCTACTCAGAAAGAACAGCATGGCTTTTGAGTGATTTAAAAAACGGATTTCCTTATATATTACTGCCTCCTCTCATTAGGAACTCTGCATTAGAAGAGGGTGCTGATTCTTGCTTATCAATTCGGCTTACAGAAGAGAGGTTTCGGCAGAAGGCGGACCTCCCAAATGGTGAACATCAACTTTGAGCCAACAAGAACAGCCCTCTTCCCAACACACCTTTGGCTGCACCCTCAGCAAGGCGCCAGGACCCTCAGCAACACACTGCACCCCTCACACTTAAGAGCCAGCCGTCTTCCTGTAGAACAAGTATCGGGACATGGAAGCCCTTCCACAAATTGCCCCCGTCTTTGGAAACATGCATCAGACTTGTCAGATCAAATATGCACAACAAGCCCAGCTGATCCCATGGAATGTTTCCAGACACACAAGTATCTGTTGAAACACTCCAGTCTCCTAACATTGTCCTGTTAAGGCAGCCTAAAAATCCCTTCCTTTTTAGAACCACAATGGGATGACTTTTAAGAATCCATCCAAAAGCAATTTAAGTAGGATTCTTATCTATTTCAATGAGCTGGGCTTTTTTCAATTAGGTGCTAAAAACCATAACCCAAGAAGCATCCTTCCCAACATCTCTTGGCTTGTAATCAACACATTTTTTTATGGTCTCTGCTTTTCATTCTTTGAGGAAATGCAGCAGAGCAGTCGGTTGTTGTTGTTTTGATCCAGGTACACAGAACGGGGGTGGGGTCGAAAAAGAACTTTCTAATTTGGAGGCACAGTGATAATGAAAGCTGGAAATGTGAGCTATGTTGCTGTCGTTCGGGCTCAAAGATGTTGCTGCTCAGTCCTTACTTTTCTAAATCCAGGTATTCAAAATACGGAAAATGTTGAGTGCTGGTAGATACAAGTGTTCACTTTGGAAAATTCATCTGGATGTTTCTGGATACAAAAAGATACTTTTTGCGGGGGACGGGGGACGGGACTTGCAGTTGAACCCAGCGGACCTTCTTCTCAATTGGACAATTTAGCTCTCTCAAAATCACTAATGTAGCTCATCACTTCTTTTGAGTCGGATTCTGTAATGAGTGCAGGATCCTAATACTCGAGTCCATGTTCCATGAAGTCTCAAGCAAGGAGGAAGATTACTGGGAAACAAAGTTTACCCCCACCTGAACTGTACACAATTCTTTCCTGGTATCAGACACCCCCTCCATGTGCATTTCTCATAGCAACGTAAACATGAAGCTGTCCAATGTGCACTTTTTAAAAAAATGACCAGCCTGTACTTTTCCTACTCTTTATTTTACTATGTGAAGTCTTTTGAGATTCCTTGGTTATCCATAAGTTTCCATGTATGGATTGACCTGGTGTGTGGCGTCACGTGTCTCCACATAGCAGGGGCCGGATTCCCTCTGGCAAAGTTCTGGAAGCACAACGCATGAATGGAGGATACAGACAAGAAGCCGAAAGTTGCAGGGAGTCTGCTTGCCAATACTGTTCTGTCCCCAGGAAGCACCTGCGTCCATCTTAAGTGTCCCTCTGGAATATTGTAGGCCTCCTGTAGGATGCTCAAGTGGTCCCTTCTACACACAGCAGTAAGAATCCCAGCAGACCCCCGTCTCCATCAGACAACTGTGAAAACAGGCATCAAAATAGTTTAAGGATAAAGGCTTCACTCTGACTATGCTGTAGCAAAGTTACGGTATAATACAATCGCATCTTGCATGCAACTAGCTTGCACGATTGAACCTCACACAGCTGAAATTGGGCAAATTAACAGCATGCAAGGCAGACAGCTTAAAAGCTCTTTCGTGCTAGGTTTTCCAGGTGTGGAAGAGCTTTTAAGCTCTCCACCCTGCTTAATGGGTTCTGGGATGCTCACACAAGACATCGCAGGAACTTGGACAGCCCTTGCGGGAGCGCCCCAAAACCCGCATGCTGAGTGGGACTTTTCTGATAAGCTTTTAAGCTGTCTGCCTTGCTTGGGGGGTGGCAAGGCTCACTTGACACACCAGCTCCAGAAGGTAAGGATGCTCATACGGGGCGGTTCCGGGTGTGTGTGTCCAGCATACAGTGGAACCTCAGTTCCCGAATGCCTCCTTTGTCGTACGTTTCGGTTCTCAAACGCCGAAAGCCCGGAAGTAAATGCTTCTGTTTTCGAACATTTTTTGGAACCCAAACGTGCGACACGGCTTTTGCTGAGTGCAGGAAGCTCTTGCAACCAATGGGAAGCCATGCCTTGGTTTTCGAATGTTTCAGAAGCCAAATGGGCTTCCGGAATGGATTTCGTTCGAGAACCGAGGTACCACTGTACGTGTTTTTGCATATACACATCATACCCAGAACATAACCCCCATGTAAGGTATGACTGAGCTATGCAACACTGCATGGAATTAAATCTTGCCGTATAGGACATGTTCTCATGCAACAAGATGTCACTGTCCTCTGTGCACCTCCAAAATCTGTCCTGGGTGGCCCATCAACCTCCCAATTCTGAGGGTGTGAAGAGAAGGGGAGGGTGGTGATCCTGTTATGCAACTGGAGGTCTGTTCCGCTCACACACACATCAATGGATATGACCCTAAGTCACAAGCTGTGGGGATGATGACTAAGATGGTAATAGGCAAACCCAGAGAGGATGGACCACCAACAATGATGGCAAAATAGTACCCTGTCTACCTCGCAATACCAATGTGGGGTTGGTGGGGGAAAGAAGACAGGGGAAGGCCACCAATTTCTGCATAGGAGCTTTCAGGTGTACTTGACTTCCCAGTGCTTTGGCCTCATCGCACAAGACAGTGCCAGTATCCTTAAAAGGAAAGACCTCCAGGCTAAACTCAGCGGGGCTAGATGGGCACATGGTGAATTTGATGCAAACTCTGCACACCTTCCTGGAGTAGCAAAACAGCTCATAGATTATTATATAGCTTGTAAGAAGCAGCAGCGAAGCTTCTTTCAATGGGAGAAGGGGCGTAAGTTTGTTTGCAGGGAGCTCCAAATGAGGACACTCAGGACTGTAAGTCTAAATCAGGAGAAATATAAATCCTCCCATCTGACCAAGTTGGAGACCGGGCTGTAAAATCTATTTTGAATGAGCAGAATTCGGCCCATGCCTCAGAGGAATCTAATTTAAACAGTTGAGAATTCCTGCTGTCTTCTAGTTGTAAGACTGAGAAAGAGGCAGTGTCCTCTCACAGAGGACAGCAGAGTCAAAGGATGGTTCCGTTTTGCTTGGTACGCAGCTGATGGAGAACAAGGCTGTCAGTGGCTGCAAACCATCCCCAGGATCAGATCCAGTCTCCCTCGGGTTACGATCCAGTGGGGGACAAGGGGAGAGTGCAATTGCACTGCATTTGCCACTGCAAATCTCGCTTCTAGGTTCTGCTTGTGGGTCTCCCAGGGGCCTCTAGCTGGCCACTGTGGAAAAGAGGATGCTGGATTAGATCGACCTTTGGCCTGATCCAGCTGCCAACCACTACCTGGCAGCCCTGCTGATCTCAAGGCCTGCATTTCAGTATACTGGAAATACTTATTTACAGTGTCATTTTGCTTGTTTACCTTCTGTTAGAATTGGTTGTTTATCGGTCCCTTTTAGGTGATTTTGTCATTTTTGTGGATTGTTTTTTGTCTGTTTATTTTTACTACTATGGGACTGAAACATTCTGTGGAGAGCGGGTTGCAAATACTGCAAATAAATAATAAATTATCACGTTCTTAACTCTCCAAGCTCTCAGTCAGAGGCCTCTCCAGTTCCTACTTCCTGAAATCATTTGGGCTGGAAATGCTGGAGATTGAATCTGAGAACTTTTAACATGTGAAGAGTGTGCTCTGCCACTGAGCTGGAAACTCAATGCAGGTCGTGGCTGTATGAACTATAGCAGGAGGCCACCCTGACCCTCAGGGGGACGTGGGTGGCGCTGTGGGTTAAACCACAGAGCCTAGGGCTTGCCGATCAGAAGGTCGGCGGTTCGAATCCCCACAACGGGGTGAGCTCCTGTTGCTGGGTCCCTGCTCCTGCCAACCTGGCAGTTTGAAAGCACATCAAAGTGCAAGTAGATAAATAGGTACCGCTCCAGCGGGAAGGTAAAATGGCGTTTCTATGCGCTGCTCTGGTTCGCCAAAAGCAGCTTAGTCATGCTGGCCACATGACCCGGAAGCTGTACGCCAACTCCCTCGGCCAATAAAGCGAAATGAGCGCCGCAACCCCAGAGTCGGCCACGACTGGACCTAATGGTCAGGGGCCCTTTACCTTTACCCTGACCCTCAGCTCACGGAAGCAGCTAGTTTTCACCTTACTACCCTTCAGGTTAAATGCACCCCTCCAAGCTGCTTCTGTAGCCCCTTTATTTACCTGTCTCTGAATGGCAGCAAGACGTTCCTCCTTTCAGGAGCCCGTTGGGCTTCTCATGTCTGCAGACAACAGCTCTGCACCACTCGCAGTGTTTCCGTATCCTACAGCAGCTGCAAAACATAAGCGTAAGAGGTTTAAGGCAGGGGAAGCCTAGGAATGACATCAGAAGGCAGAGGCTCAGTGGTTAGTGTGTTGGATTAAGAGCTGGGAGACCAAGATTCGAATCCCCACTCAGTCTTGAAGCTCACTGGGTGACCTTGGGCCAGCCATTGTTTCTCAGCCCAACCTGCTTCACAGGGTTGTTGTGAGGATAAAATGAGGAGGGGGAGAACCATATACACCATCTCCAGCTATTTGGAGGGAAAGGTGGGATATAAGTGAGATAAATAAATGCGAAAGGGTGGGACATTAGAATGTCGTCCGTCCCTACACTAGAGAGGGCGGCTGGCACAGGTGGGGGCTCCTTTGTGACCACCTTCAGAATGGGCTGGCATGGATGGGCCCTTGAGTTTGTGAACCTGGAAACCCAGGTTCACACATGTGGTAGCTCCAAGCTAGCCCCTTGCACTCTGAAAGCTGATCAGCCTCAAGTCTTACATTTGCCAAGGTTATCACAATCCAGCACTGCTGTGATCCCGTTTTATAAGCATCTCAGGCCCTGTGATTAGGCACTATAAAGTTTGTTGCTGGATACCAGGTTTCCTGCTAAAATTCAGAACTCCCGAATTAGAGTAGAAAACTTAACAGCTGGAAAAATAAATCAAAATGGGGTGTGTTGTCTATTAAAATAAAAGGAAGACTGTTCGGTTTGATTCGAATCAGTTCAAGGTGCTTCACTAATTTAAGATGAAATCTTTTGCACCAGCCTTATAAGAGACCAATAGCCTAGGGAGCAAAGACCCAAAGACAAAAACTATCCAGGTGGTAGCTTTAAAAAAACAGGTTTCTGTCTCTCCCTCTCTCTTCCTAAGGAGCACTCAAGCCCTCACGGCCTAGGACCCTCGTACCTACGGGACTGCCTCTCTCGGTATGCCCCACGGTATGCCTCAAGGTCCATAAATAGCAACACCCTAGTGGTCCCGGGCCCTAAGGAAGTTAGATTAGTTTCAGCCAGAGCCAGGGCCTTTTCAACACTGGCTGCAATGCAGTAAATCGTCCAGAAGAATCCTGCTACTGGTCCCCTGTGTCTCAGGAGTCTGACCAGCCTCAACTAGAAGCCAGTCATTCACTGTTGCTGGTCCCAGGCCCTGGAATACTTTTCCAGCAGAGTTTCACCAGTCGTCCTCCCTGTTCTCCTTCAGACAGGCCCATTCAGCTTCTTAAATTCCGTTTTGGATAAGCCAGTCGTCTCTATGGTTGCCTTGTATTTATTTATGGTGTTTGATGTTTCATTGTATATATTGTTATGCACCAGCTTGATGTTTTCTGCCAGTGGGCGGTATAGAAATACTTTTAGAAATAAACAAAAGGTGATTCAGGCTCTCTGGTGGCTAGACTTTGGAACTCCCTGCCTAATGATATCAGGCAGACACCTTCACTGCACTCTTTTTGGCACCTGCTAAGAACATTTCTGTTCAGACAAGCCTGAGATGCTTACAAAGTTCATGTGAGTTTTAATCTGTTTTTAAGCTATTTTTGTTTTAACTTTTCAGAAGTCTTAAGTTATTGCTGTTCATTTTTCTTAGAGATAATTTTATTGGCTTTCCTTTTTTTGTAAACTGCTTTGAGGTTTGTTTGTTTCTTTTACAATCAAGCAGTTTATAAATCTTAGGGAAAAAATTTAAAAATTCAGACTAGACTACTGCAATGCACTCTACATGGTGCTGCCTTTAAGAACAAATGAAGAACGGTCTGAAATTTTCAGCTAGTACAAAATGCAGCTGCCCTCATGACCCAATTTGTGAGCAAGGATGTTATTAAAACATTACAGTATTTACTACCAACACACTCCTGCCTAAATACTTCTCAGCACCAAGAGAAGCGGCAGGACCTGGAGAAACCCGCTGTTGTCAGTGACTGTCCTAACTGGTTTGTTCGTTTTGGTCTGGCTGCTGGCAGAGAATGTTCCCCAAGCAAAGGTGAGAGGAGGGCTGGGGACTTGCTTGAGAAAAGGGATTAGGCAAGGCATCTCGCAAGGCGAGCCACGCAGATTGGGAAACCAACCACAACGACACTGCTGCCCGTCCTCTAAATTACACAGCAAAGACTTTAATTTTAGCTTAATGGGTGGCGTTCCAGTTGCAACACGCATGCCACCATCTCCCGTCCTCAGAACAAAAACACACCGGAACACATGACCTCATTGCAAGAAAGAGCCATTCCAGGACATCCAGGCTGCGGATGGAGAAATTGCCAGGCGGAAAGGGTGGGGGCAGAGGCAGCGCAGGGCGGGTTTGTTTTGTTTTTTTGCAGCAGACAACAGCTGAAAACAAAACACATGTCCAGTTCTCTCCAAAGTGTCTTTCTAAATTAAGGGAATCCTTAATTTAATTGCATTTTTTGCAAAACGGAATTAAATGCTGAAATGCTTCTGCAAATCTACACGAGGAATGGGAAGATGAGCAGGAGGGTGGGTGGGTGTGTGCGCGTGTAGAGGAAGAGACATAGTTTCATGCTCTTCTCATCCACAAAGTTAACAAAGTGGTTCAATTTACAACTAAAAATAAATTACACAATATATTTTAATGAAGAGACACTTTCAGAAAAAGTTCCCAGTACTTCCAAAGCAGCTGTTCCGGACACTGGGTAAAAGTAAGACTTAATTCCACCAGCTTTCTGTCTATATCTTAAGACAGGGTTTGTGGCAAAAAGAGATGATGCATATCACAGAACTGTAGAACTGCAAGAGACCCAAACAGTCATCTAGTCCAACCGCCTGCAATGCAGCAAAACATGGAGGATTATTAGGGTAACTTGCACTGAGAGCTCTTTACAGATTTGCAGGTCTGCCTTGTTAAAGGAAACTTTTCAATGCTCTGCATTAACAAATATTGGTCAATGGCAGCTCCTCTGTTTTTAAGCTAGAGGCAGAATTAGGCTGAGAGAAAGTCTTCCCTTTCCATGCAATCAATTGCCTTCAGCATCCAAGAGGCCAAGTCCATATTCAATTTCATCCAGGTGTTACACTTCCCCCTCACTGCTCTTCTTCCATAAGGTTCAGGATGGCATTCCAAGGTGGTTTCCCATCCAAGAACTGACCAGACTTTGGGCTGCTCAGGTTCAGGGACCTGCACCACATGGACCACTCTGAGATGCGACTAACTAAGTGACCAGCCATAGCTCAGTGGCAGAGCATCTGCCTTGCATTCAGTGGGTCCCAAGTTCATTTCCCATCAGTATATCAGGGCTATGATTGTCTCCTGCCTGAAATCCTGGAGAGCAGTTGCCAGTCAGTGTAGACAACATTGAGCTAGATGGACCAGGGCAGGACTCCGCACAAGGCAACTTTCTATGCTTCTAAGATCATGCACACTCTTTTAAACAAATTTCTACCCTACTTTTCAGGGGTGGGGAAGGCTTCCCGAGAGAGACTTGTACATCGCTACAACCAACAGGCCTACTAAAAAGGCAGGGCACAAAAGGAAAACTGGTTGGGAGGGAGGAGGAAATGAGCAAACTCAGCTGCATATTCTTTGTTGGAAGTTCTTCTAATGATCAGCTAGGGTAGTCTAAGGAGAGGTGTACAGAGTTGATGACCCAGCATCCCTTCTCTTGCCTGCTCTGCTGCAGCTTGATGCCGCGGTTACTGCCTGGCGACAACTGTTGGAGGGAGGAGTCTGCTGCCTAGTATGCACTGCAGTCTATGGAAGCAGCCTTAGCCACATGTCAGGGTGAGGTCTGCCTCCAGCCTTCCAAACTGAGAAGCAGGCTGGACTTGAAAAAGGAGATCCTTCTCTCCATGAACTGTTGTTGCCCACCCGAGCCTATTCAGTAGGCTGGCCACCTTTTAAGACATGCATTTTACATAAAACACATGCCTTGGTGCATGCACATACACACACACACTTCAAGCTTGCAGAGATGTCAATATAGAACATCAGTTCAAATGGAAGTTTCACTTACTGTATTAGGACGCAGACCATGATAAGGGCAACAGAGGCTATAACGGAAACCACCACCAGGGCGGTGATGGTTTGCTTTGTCTGGTTGGCGGCCACCACTGCAAGGAGGTCCGCGTGTTCGCATCGCGCCCCAACGTACCCGGAATGGCAGCTGTGACGAGGCAAAAGAAAATCAAGAGCAGTGAGTGCACAGAGGAAAAGACACAAGCTTTTTAAATATATATGTGTGTGTGTGTGTGTGCGCAGAATTTGAGCCAGATGCCGTTTTCTCACATTCAGAATTAAAATGGGATTTTATCTAAATCAGGGGGCTGGAACGTGCCTAGAGGCAGGGTGGGCAGCAGCTACTGGTTTGCATTTCCCATTTAGAGTGAAGCGCAAAGTCCTGCTCTCCCTGCCTCACTGAGTTTGCAGTGCTCTTTTGAGGCACGTGTTCGCCACGGGAAAGACTGCACAGTGTTCTCAATCAGGGCATTAGCCAGGCATGATCCAAATAAACCAATGAATTCTACGTATTTATACTTCTGCTATGTAATGTGAAATTTTAGCTGCTTAGGAACCGTTTCAGCATATAAGTGGCATGTACGTTAATTTTAAAACATTAATAAAATAATTGGTATTTCACTCTTCCCCATCTGAACACAGCATGTGCTCTGCATCACGTTGACATGTTTATTCTCTTCGCACCAACTCTCAACATTCCAACAAGGCAAATCTTGCAGATGAAGGGAGCTTTTCCATACGTCCCACATGGGCCCAAGAGTCATCCCCATCCCCTAAGGCAGTCTTCTTCTACTGGACTCCAATTCCCATCATCCTCAGCCAACTTAGCCGATTGTCAGGGATGATGTGAGCTGCAGTCCAACAACATCTGGTGACCCAAGAGTCTAATGCAGGCATAGGCAAACTCGGCCCTCCAGAGGTTTTGGCACTACAACTCCCATGATCCCTAGCCAACAGAACCAGTGGTCAGGGATGGTGGAAATTGTAGTCCTAAAACATCTGGAGGGCCAAGTTTCCCTATGCCTAGTCTAATGCATGGAGGCAGGGACACTTTCTTTCGTGACATGCCGACTGCACGATTACTGCTGAATGCAACGAGGTGGGTATTACAAGATGCAAGAGAGAGACTTACACGCAAGCTGGTTTTTCCTCTTGCACCAAGAACCTGCAAGTACCATGGAAGCAAAACCCACTATGAGCATCCGGACAGCTGTTAAAATGAGATCTCACAGCAGCAGCCACTGGCGGACCTAAGAAAGGATGGACGAGAGAGAGAGAGAGAGAGAGAGAGAGAGAGAGAGAGAGGGAAGACTGGTTAATCTTTGGTATTCACACTACATACAAAGAAACATACTTGTTTGTTTTGCAGATACGAAAGGGGGGGGGGGAATGTAATTTGTGAGGTTTCCCTTATTCCCATTTTACCATAAGGATGAACTAATTTGTCAATATTGGTATCTCTCAAATTTAGTTTACCACATTTCCCCCATCAGTTTGTATTGTTTTAAAAAAGATTTTCATGAGAATTCATCAGCAATGCTGTGCATTTCTACATGAAAGTGTACACGATATGAACATTTCGGCAAGCAATTTCCCTTAATATTGGGCTTTTCGTAAAAATAAAAATAAATTCACAAATATATGCATTTTTAGGCATGCTTGTCCTTAGTACAAGCATTTATCTACACATTCCTTGGCTAGAGAGGTGCGACACAAAATATGAAGTGGAGCAAAATTGGAAGGGTAACTTCATTTCAGTTTGTGAATTGTTTCAGAAAGAAATTATTAGGTAGCCAAGCATTAAAATATAACCTACACCAAACTGCCTCCCCCTCCCCCATGGCCATCCTAAGGACACGAAAAGAGCCTGCTGGATCCAAGTGCCCTGTTCTCACGGTGGCCAACCAGATGCCCCAATGGGAAAGTGGCAAGGAGGACCCAAGCGCCAGAGCAACACTCTACCCTCCTGGGGTTTCCAGCAAGCGGAATTCAGAAGCACTGCGGCCTCCAACTGCAGAGGCAGAGCGGAGCCACCCTGACCAGTAGCCATCAATAGCCCTCTCCTCCACGGGTTTCTCTAATCGTCTTTTAAAGCCATCCGTTGGTGGCCATCACTGCCTCCTGCAGGCGCTTCCATAGGATGGCGAACATGTTTGGGGTGCACAGAAGAGGACACACAGAGAAACAGAGGCCATGCTCAGTCAGCGTATGTTTTCACCCACGAGTTGTCCCTCACCTACCACCGAGGCTCGACTAGAACGCGATACCTAGAGTGCATGAACCAAGCCAAGGTTTGGCATTACTGTAAGGCAAGCGGAAGGGACAAAGGCACTTAATCTTTGTCTACATAAATAATCCGGGACGCGGGTGGAGCTGTGGGTTAAACCACAGAGCCCAGGACTTGCCAATCAGAAGGCCGGCGGTTCGAATCCCCATGACGGAGTGAGCTCCCGTTGCTCGGTCCCAGCTCCTGCCAACCCAGCAGTTCGAAAGCACGTCAAAGTGCAAGTAGATAAATAGGTACCGCTCCGGCAGGAAGGTAAACGGCGTTTCCGTGCGCTGCTCTGGTTCGCCAGAAGCAGCTTAGTCATGCTGGCCACATGACCAGTAAAGCAAGATGAGCGCCGCAACCCCAGAGTCAGTCACGACTGGACCTAATGGTCAGGGGTCCTTTTACCTTTTACATAAATAATCATTTAAACATTTCCATTGTTTCTGGATTGTATTTTTTGGTTTTTGTCTTATCAAATCAGATTAAGTGTAAGGTATTGGTTGTGTTTAGAATAGCTTTATGAAAGATTTAGAAAACTTATTGATTAGAATATTTGTATGAGATTGTATGGGAAAAACACGGAATAACAGATACAATTTTGCTTAAAATGTATATAGGAAGTGCAGTGTAAGCGATGGAAGTCAATCAATGACATTTTATTATTGAGATATTTGTAGAATAAATTTGGAAGAAATTCTTCCAATTTTTCTTCTTTTTCTCCTTATTTTTTCTTTTCTTCTTTTTTCTTGTTTTTTTTTAATATATGCATGCTTATCTGAAATATATATGTATGCATGTATTTGCAGTATTTTGCTTGTGTTTTGTAATAATTATGTTAAATAAAATTTAAATAGATTTTTAAAAATTAAAAAGACGAAGAATGGACAAAGGCAGCAGTAACAGCTGTCAATATAAGGATACTTGTCACACATACTTTTGTGGGGTAGTGGGCTGAGAATGTGCGCTGCTAAGAACACATCCATTTACAGGAAGAAGGTAACTGACCATGACATCATTCAACCTTTTTAGAAGCCATGTGTCTTACAACTTAAATAGTCGTAATAATAAATGAAGATATATTTATGCATTTATGCAAGACATTCCTGGGCTGCCTTTCTTGACACTGTCCTCTCAAAGAGGCTCACGGAATATCACATGCCATAAAGCAATCTTCCTAAATTTGGCATCCTCCAGATGTTTTGGGTGACAGTTTGATGGGAGTTGTAGTCCAAAACATCTGAAGGGCATCGTGCCAGGGGCAGCTGCTACAAAAGGCCACCTACCATACTAAGTACCACAGCCACCAGATTGGCAAATTCCATAACAACAACAACAATTTTATTATTTATACCCCAGCGATTTTGGGAGGTTTTCAGAATACAGTGGTAACTCAGGTTAAGTACTTAATTCGTTCCGGAGGTCCATTCTTAACCTGAAACTGTTCTTAACCTGAAGCACCACTTTAGCTAATGGGGCCTCCTACTGCTGCCGCACCGCCAGAGCACGATTTCTGTTCTTATCCTGAAGCAAAGTTCTTAACCTGAAGCACTATTTCTGGGTTAGCGGTGTGTGTAACCTGAAGCGTATGTAACCCGAGGTACCACTGTACTGGATAACCCTCATGAGCAATGCACGCCAGTGTATTATTTGCCGTTACTTGCAAAAAAAACACCTGGAAAAAACCTTAGTGCAAGAATCGTAACATGCTCAACAGGATGTCTGCAGGAACCAAGGCTGCAATTTTTGCAACATATTCTTGTAAACTACTCAGAGACTATTGCAGCTGAGTCACATATCAACTGTAGGAGAGCCAATGTGGTACAGTGGATTGACTGTCGAGCTCTAGGATCTGGGAGACCAGGGTTCAAATCTCCACTCTTGCCATGAAGCTCAGCGGGTGACCAGTCACTGCCTCAACTAACCTACTTCACAGGGTTGCTGTTGTTGTGGGGATTAAATTAAAAGAGGAACTATGTATCCCACCTTGAGCCCCCTGGAGAAAATGTTAACAAATAAGAAATAATGATTTACGGTAAATAAAAAGAGTTTCATGAGAATTAACTACCTTTAAAAACAGGACATACCGGTTAAAAGCCTCTAAAAGGTTATTGAGACAAAAAGTATCCCTTGTTTGTGATAAACTAGAGAGGCTAACAGATCCTTTGAAAGCCACAGTTTGACTGGTCATGTAAGTATTTTCTGAGAGTGCTTTAAGATGGACATTGTTAGCACTGGTTAAAGATGCTGGCCGACATCTGAAAAATCTCACCCGGGGAAGACGGAGGCTGCAAGATACTTTTCTGGAGCAAGCAAATTCCTTCAGACCAGTCTGCCTGCACTGTTGTGTGGGTGGCTTTACTTTGCTCAAGTAAACCCCATGTTGCAGCAGGCAGACAGAAGCTGATGCCACAATAAATCTGCTAGTCTCGGTTGTTAGCGGAGTGCAAAGTGGTACCCTGGCTCCGTTTCCCAAAGGCTTCCAGGCCCCCTCCCACAATGTCAATGACACAGTGAAATCAACACAGCCAGGCTGCACACAGCCTTACAACACGATCCTGAGCGTGTTTACGCACCAGATCCAATGTGCCCCCCCCCCCAGACATCCACGCTTCCACTCAACTCATAGCAGAAGAGGTAAACAGAATAAGAAGGCAGGCCTTGTATGAGAAGGTTTGAAGAACACAGCGATCTTTCAGATTTTGTATGCAGCAGTATGCAGAACTTAAGAGGTGTGCGTGTCTAGTACGGTTTGGAAGGCTTAATTTCATTACATTAAGCTACATATGTCTGAGCAGAAACGGGATCAGCAGTCAGGACTGGACTGCCTCCTGTCGTCACTTGGCCCAAACGCTGCCACATAAGACCTGCCCCACATTTGTAAGAGCTCAAAATTATAGTGTGGCAGCACCTACCCTCTGGAACTCCCTGCCTCTTGACATCAAGCAGGAGCCTTCACAGTGCACGTTTTGGTGCCTGATAAAAACATTTTTGTTTAGACAATCCTGTCCAGATGTTTAGAAAGTTGGTGCACGTTTTAATCCGTTTTTAGTCTATTGTTATTTTAACTTTGGAAAAACCTACATTGTTATCAATTCTTCTTATTGATCATTTTATCTTTTTTGTAAACTGCTCTGGAGGTTGGTTGGTTTTTTACAATCAAGCAATGTATAAATTACCGTATTTTTCGCCCTATAGGGCGCACCGGCCCATAGGACGCACTTATTTGGGAGGGGGAATAAAGGAAAAAAAATATATTTCCCCCCCCCCAGCCCCAAAGAGCAAAGAAGCCATGACAGCGAGCGGGATGGAAGCTGTCCTGGCTTTGTTTTTAGCCTCGGGGCTGGGGGTCCGGGAGCGAAGGCGAGGTTGCGCAACCTCGCCATCGCTCCCGGAGCTTGCGGGGCTGGGGGCGGGGGAAGCCCGAGCTTCCCCCAACCCCAGAACGGGTCCGAGAGCGATGGCGAAGTTGCGCCCAGCTTCACCATTGCTCCCGGAGCTTGCCGGGCTGGGGGGATAGCTTCCTGAAGCCTGGAGAGTGAGAGGGGTCGGTGCGCACCGACCCCTTTCACTCTCCAGGCTTCAGCAAAAGCCTGCATTCGCCCCATAGGACACACACACATTTCCCCTTCATTTTTGGAGGGGAAAAAGTGCGTCCTATAGGGCGAAAAATACAGTATATGAAATAAAGTAAGAAATAAACGCGTCCGACTTCAACAACTTTCCTGCCTCACCTCCATGAAGGCTTGGCCTTAACCACCTAAGCCCACACTTCCAAATGGATAGAATTTTACTTTTAAAAAACATTTATATATCACTGTATCATTAAAAAAATGTCAAAAGCCGTTTACATATGTGTGTGTGTGATAAATAATGAAAAGCTTAAAATGAGAGATCAACTAACCAATCTGGAAAGATGTTCTCTTAATTGCCTGCACAATTTCCTGGCGGCACTGAAAAAGTTTCCAGCAGGTGTCTAAATCGTTTGCAATTACCGGTATATTTGCCCACTCATAGCTTCCTAGCCTTGCTTCTCTAACCACTGCCACCCCCACAACTCAAAATTTACACCACAGGTTCCTGAGGACACCAATTTCTCTCCCCTCCAAAAAATGTAACCAGCCCAACATCACAAACAGCAAGACCCCAAGGAGAACACAAAAACTTAAGAGCCCAATGAATCAGCCCATCTAGTCCAGCATCCTTTTCTCACAGCGGCTGACCAGGAAGTTCACAAGCAGTTAAGGTGCATCCTGTAACATGGGTCTGTCAACCAACTTTTCACTTTGCAAAAGGGATGGGGGAAACTGTGGTCCTCCGACATCTGGAAGTCCAACAACATCTGGTTGGCCATCAGTTCTCCAGCCCTGCCTTAGAAAATCTGCTTGCTGTGGGAACGTAAAAGTGTGAAAAACTTCTGGGAAATGATATATAATGAGATGAAAAAGATGTTGAAATATACATTCATTAAGAAACCAGAAGCATTTTTACTTGGCACTGTAGGAGATGATATTAATAGACAGGATTGTAAGTTGTTTTATACGCAACGACGGCAGCAAGAATATTATTGGCACAAAAATGGAAGCAAGAAGAATTACCAACGAAAGAAGAATTGCGGATGAAACTGATGGACTATGTAGAATTAGATAAATTAACTGGAAGTGTTCGAAACCTGCGGGATCAGAGATTCTTAGAAGACTGGAGTAAATATACGAACTATTTGAAAAGGAACTGTAATGAACAGATTATGCTAGTAGGACTGCAAGAAGTTTTGAGACGAGGATTATCTGAAATATTGCAAGAAAGACTATGAGGAGAATTATTAGTTAATGACAATTAAGAGTAATAGAGAAATTAAGAAATGCAGAATAAGTGATAAAGAATGAAAAATCATCAGAGGTGTTGACGGAAGTCTAAAACATTGTATATGATAGGAAGTTATGTTATATGATTGTTGGAAATGATATGTTAAGAAAACCTAATAAAAATGTATAATTAAAAAAAGAAAAGAAAATCTTCTTGCTTTCCGAAGAGATGTAAAAAAATAAATCTATAAGCACAAGGAACAACCATAGATACAAGAGAACTACTCTCTCTCTCTCTCTCTCTCACACACACACACACACACACGCACAGAGAGAGAGAGAGAGAGAGAGAGAGAGAGAGAGAGAACTTTGCAAAATGGAGAAACTGTGGCAAAACATTTGTGCTGGTTATTCCATATAATGAAACATTATTAAGAAGAATGTTTGGTATTAAAGAGATTACCAATAAGTATGGTTCAGGAAACGTTCAAGGAATCCTGATCTTCCCGCATGGTTACACAATTATTCAACACATTCTGGGCTGTTTTAAATTGTTGGCCAACAGTTGACATGGAAAACAACATCCTGCTCAGCAGATCGCCCCTTATATAGAAAGCCCACCCATTCTCCATTTCAAAGCCCCATCAAGTTCCTGTTGCAGAAAGTTAATGGCAAACCAGGCAGCAAAGCTAATTAAAACCACAACTTTGAAATGTTTCACATGAGACCCTGGAAGAAATTAAACATCGTCGAAAACTTTTCCTGCATTAAGTTAATATTTTCTTTGAGGAAAAAGGTAGCTTTGTTCCAGTTCTCAAAAAAGAACTGGAAAATGGAAATGAAATACAGTCGTTCTTAATTGTAGTCAACAAGAAAACGCATGTCACAGGTCAGGTCAAGAAACTGTGCTGAAGGCCCCAAGTTGACGAAGAAAGCGAATCCCACTCAGAGGAAAATACTATGCAGGACACAAGTCACTTATCTTTTGCGAGACCCCCACTTTTTGCATGCTCTTGAGCGTTTAGCTAGCTTGGGGGGTGGGACACACACACACACACACACACACACACACACACGTTCATTCCATTAACTCTTTAGTGGCCACATCCCCTTCACCACCCAAACCTTGCATTTGGACCGAGGAGACCCAGTTTAACTCTCTGCACAGCCATGAAATTCACTGTGGGGTCTGCCTTGAACAAATCAGTCCCAGTCTACCACACAGGGTTGTTGTGAGAATCAATGGGGGAGAGGAGATGAGGAGGGGCTCACCAAGGACTTCCATGAAGGATGTAAATAAAAAATACCCCAAACCACCACCACCCGACATTTTAAAATTCATTGTTTATTGTACTCTGATTTCAAATGGAACAAAACACAGCTGTAAACAGTGGGAGAAGATAAGCTTTTAAAGGCAAGGGAAAGAGGGATGTATTGCTGTCTAAGTGTTCCTGCTCTTAACTGTAGTGCTTGCTTTGCACAGATCAGTGACATAATATCATCTCCTTCTGTAAGGACCAGCAAGATAATCTATTGACTCCAATTCCAATATTTGTATATGTGCTGTTTATTTGTATGTATTTTAAAATTTTACATCTAGATGTTTTATGATGGCCTATACAGTGGTACCTTGGTTCTCAAACTTAATCCGTTCCAGAACTCCGTTCCAAAACCAAAGTGCTCCCAAGCCAAGGTGCGCTTTCCCATAGAAAGTAATGCCAAATGGATTAATCCATTCCAGATTTTTAAAAACAACCCCTAAAACAGCAATTTAACATGGGTTTTACTATCTAATGAGGCCAGTGATCCATAAAATGAAAGCAATAAACAATATACTGCAGTCACACAATCAATCAATAGCTGAACTGGGTTCCACACAGTCACAGAAACAAAGCAAAAAGCTGCAAAAACAAAAACGCAAAATAAATAGCAAAAACAGGCAGACCTCTGCGTAACACTCAAAACTGAAGAGTGGCACTCAAATCAGAAGCGTAACACTCAAAATGGATTTGTGGCACTCAAAACGGAGCACATTCAGCTTCTGAAAAAAGTTCACAAACTGGAGCACTTATTTCCAGGCTTGCAGTGTTTGGGTTCCAAGTTGTTTTCTAACATTTTCCATTGTGTTTTGGTGCTTTGGGGCAGGAACTGACTGTGAAACTCAGAAAAGTGCAAAACCCAGAGGAGACTTATGTTCCAACCTGTGCATTAGTTAAGAAGGTGCAAATTTTGGCAAGGGCCACCTGCACATCTGCAAGCGCCAACAGCTCACAGCTGAGCTACTGGGCCCCAGCAGGGAGGAGCTCTATGAGGGTTCAGAAGGCTCATAACGTCTTAGAACTGCCTTTTTCTACAAGGCGGGGGGACGGGATGGGACAGCAACAGAGCAACGCAGCTCAGTCTACTAGAGATTCACTAATGTCTGTCCCAACATGAGGAACGGGCATGGAGCATCTTCTAAGAAGGCTGAAATCTTCCCCTCCAAGCTTGGAGATTTGCGGAGCCTCCTATAATTTTGCGCCTGCCATTTTGAAGTCAAATTGAACACCAGCCTCTTAGAAAGGAGGCTTTATCCAGCTGCCAGGAGTGATATTTATAAGTTCACCTTCCAAGAGACACAAAATGCCTTTCAACAGGCTGCCGTGTAAATAACCAGGGGATGCATGAATTGGCCCCATACAAACCTCCAGAGCCGTTTTGCTTTGAACCTGGGCAAAAGCGTGAAGAAAACACACACACACACATATACACAGACCCTAAGACATCCGGCTTTTTATGGTCCCACCATTCCAAGTAATGGATCATGGGAGACAGGTTTCCCCTGCCACACACCTCCACACACACAGGTATTCTGCACAAGCCATATTTCTTACATTTCAGTGCTTTCCAGAAGGGCAAGTGTTGACATGTAATCTCTTTCAATTCAATCCATTCATAAAATCTACTGAACATCCTATGAGGTGGGAGGGACAGACACAAGACAAGGAATAGAGTAAAGAAGAAAAATAATTCAATGCCCTTTGATTTACTGGGCTATTCCACACATTATGGAAGAAACAGCTGATCCAGCATATTCCACATAGCGCTGCACCAGTGACACCAGAATATTAGTGCAGGAATAGGGAGACCTGGGTTGGGGGAATCCCAAGTTCAAATCTCTACGTCTGCCTCCCCTAACCTGGTGCCCTTCAGAGGATCTGGCCCAGCCAGCACAGCCATATGATGCTGGGGGTGATGGGAGTCATAGTCCAAATCCTCATTGGGAAACAACTTGAGGAAAGTCTTTAGGTGACCTTTCAAAGGCTCATGCCAAGATGTAGTTCAAGGTGAAAGCCCCAAGCCCTCTCAAGCAGCAATGCTGAGGCCATCAGAGACATACAGTGGTGCCCCGCAAGACGAATGCCTCGCAAGACGGAAAACCCGCTAGACGAAAGGGTTTTCCGTTTTTGAGTTGCTTCGCAGGACGAATTTCCCTATGGGCTTGCTTCGCAAGACGAAAATGTCTTGCAAGTCTTGAGATTTTTTTTCGCTCCCCCCCCCTTTTTTCTAAGCCGCTAAGCCGCTAATAGCCTTTTAGCAGCTAATCCGCTAAGCCGATAAGCCTTTAATAGCCGCTAAACCGCTAACAGCGCTAATCCGCTAAGCCGCTAATAGGGTTGCTTCGCAAGATGAAAAAACCGCTAGACGAAGACACTCGCGGAACGGATTAATTTCGTCTTGCGAGGCACCACTGTACCTGAAAGGGAGTTTCCATTCAAATTCCAAAAGCTTCCCAAAGGCTTCACAGCCTAAGACCATGCAGTGTGAGATGTGGAGCCAGCGGGTGGGGGAGGGGAAGGGAAGCAAGCCTGGAGCAACTATGCTGGAGAAGTATGGCTGGATGGGTCACTGGAAGTTCACTGGATGCCTGCACTGGAAGCACTGCAAAGGCCAACCATTTGAAAGCTTGGGGTGCTATGCAACTATGTTTTACTCAGAGCTGACCCACTGAAATTAATGACTATGACTAAGGTCCATTTTGCTAATGTTCCTGTAATATATATGAAGCTAGTTATCCTTGCATGCTGCCTTTCAAATGCATTACCACATTGGATAAGTGAATGAATGAATGAAATAATACACAAGGCTCATCTAGGATTCTCAAGTCTGACAAGGATTACAAGGGTTTGTCAGAGTAATTAGCTTCTGTCAAAGTAATGAGCGGCTGTTTTAAAGATGTAACATTCTGAATTGTTACAATTCCAGTCACAATTCAAGAATGGTACAAACAAAGCTATATCTATATATCCAAGTTACTTAACTGTTACGAAATCACAACACCCAAGTCTATTATTTATAGCCAAGCATGTTAGCAAGAGATTGAGTTGTTCCCTTGGCAAAAAGCCAAGAACCCAGACAGTTATAAATGCCATTGAAAAACCACACACCCCTCTATTAAAAGACAGGAGTCAGTTTAAGTGTGTTCATTTCAAAGGGCAGATTGAGGTGGATCCAAAACTGAGCATGTACACACACCTGCGAGACGAGGAAGCAAGCCCTTGCCATTTGAACAGAGGAATGCCAGGCGAATACCTGGAATATTTACCGGTAACTATGGCAAAATACAGCCAACTGATAATATTTAACCAGACAGTTGACCAGAAGCTCCATCCTAAGAGACAGGGAGCACCCAAGTGCATCAGTGGTACTTTGTCAATAGCAGCTGAAACTCTTCAGGATTTGGGCATTCTCTATATGCACAGTTATACTTCATCTCCTCAACTTGTAGGCACTTTGGAATAGTCCAAATCACTTCATAGATACTCAGAATTCAAGACCTGAATCACAGGACTCTGTTTGCTTATGAAAGGACTGTGGAAAAACACCAGGAATAGGTCTTCAGATCAGAACAGTTATTTGCCTTTGAATTCATTGAAAGTGATGCTAAGAACAGGCCAGAATCACACATTTGCATCCCAGGAAGTCTCTGTGGTACAGAGTGCCTTCTATCAGCTTCAGCTATCAGCTATATCAACTTCTATCAGCTTCAGCTGGTAGCCTAGCTGTGCTATCCTATTGATAACCTAACCTTTGTTGTCTCTGCTCTGGTACCCTCTAGGTTAGATTATTGCAACACACTATATGTAGGTCTGCCTCTGAAGATGGTTCAGAAACTTCAGCTGGTGCAGAATTTGGCAGCCAGGTTGCTTACTGGGACAATACTTGGCGTTAACAAAGGATATTCAGTCACCGGATGTGCAACCATTTGCTTTTCATGAGAAACACAAACCACCTTGCAAAGCAGTGTAACTGTGCAAAACTGCTAGTGTAAAAGTAAAGAGAAGTTTGATTATTTCCCTCATCCTTGGATTTCCTCAGTGCTCCTCTGCCACAAACAACAGTTAAACCCTAAAGCCACATTCTTGCTTGCCAGAGCAAGGGGAATCTGAATTTTGGAAGGTTCAGGACAGACAAAAGGAGAAAGGACTTGTGGCCAACCTGCCTCTCACATTGAGCCACTGCCAGAAAGCCTCTGCCAGTCAGTGGGGGCAACACTGAGGTAAAAAGGTAAAGGTAAACGGACCCCTGACCATTAGGTCCAGTCGTGGCCAACTCTGGGGTTGCGGCGCTCATCTCGCTTTATTGGCCAAAGGAGCCGGTGTGCAGCTTCCGGGTCATGTGGCCAGCAGGACTAAGCCACTTCTGGTGAACCCGAGCAGTGCACGGAAACACCATTTAACTTCCCGCTGAGGTATTTGTCTGGACCTATTTATCTACTTGCACTTTGACGTGCTTTTGAACTGCTAGGTTGGCAGGAGCAGGGGCGGAGCAATGGGAGCTCACCCCATCGTGGGGATTTGAACCGCCAACCTTCTGATCGGCAAGTCCTAGGCTCTGTGGTTTAACCCACAGTGCCACCCGCGTCCCCTAACACAGCTGTAGTGACTACGTAATTTTTTTTTACTCTTTCTGGGAAGAGTCAGGTCAAAACTGATTTGAATTAGGCATGCTTAAGACAGTGAACTGTCAAAATGTCTTACAGATATGGTACCTCCGCAGGAAGTGTGTCAAATGGCCAAGAGTTTATGAGGAAATGCGCACATGTTCAGAAGCACTTGCAGCTCAAAAGGGTCAAGAGGCATTGTTAGTGCCAAGGACTAGACAGGTCTACGAGAAGGTATTTCACCCAGGGTAAAACAGAGTCACCCATTTTTACTCCACACCTAGACAGCTGCAGGCTGGGTTGTAAAGTTGCCTTTGGATTTTATAGCTTCACATAAAAGAACAACTGGTCTGCATTCATCCAGCAGATCTCTTGATCACCTGCAAAGTGACACCTGGGGTGGTCTCTCTCCAAGGGCCAAAAAGTTTGATACAGAGCGCAAGGCTAATGGTCCCAAAGAAGCAGAACACGCCACACACCATGACGCCACTGCAACATAGCGGGAGTGCAAAAAAACAACAACACAGAATGTGGCACTGAGTGGAGAAGTCCACTTCCTTAGAACCTACCGTATTTTTCGCCCTATAGGACGCACCGGCCCATAGGACGCACCTAGATTGGGGGGGGGGAATAAAGGGGGGGAAATTATTTCCCCCCCCCCAGGCGCGGGGCTTCCCCCGACCCCAGCCCCCAGAATGGGTCCCAGGGCGCAGCTTCGGCATCGCTCTGGGAGCTTGCCGGGCTGGGGGGATAGCTTCCTGAAGCCTGGAGAGTGAGAGGGGCCGGTGCGCACCGACCCCTCTCGCTCTCCAGGCTTCAGCAAAAGCCTGCATTCGCCCCATAGGACGCACACACATTTCCCCTTCATTTTTGGAGGGGGAAAAGTGCGTCCTATAGGGCGAAAAATACAGTAAGGTAAAGGTAAAGGTACCCCTGCCCGTTCGGGCCAGTCTTGCCAGACTCTAGGGTTGTGCGCTCATCTCATTCTAGAGGCCGGCAGCCAGCGCTGTCCGCAGACACTTCCGGGTCACGTGGCCAGCATGACAAGCTGCATCTGGCGAGCCAGCGCAGCACACGGAACGCCGTTTACCTTCCCGCTGGTAAGCGGTCCCTATTTATCTACTTGCACCCGGGGGTGCTTTCGAACTGCTAGGTTGGCCGGCGCTGGGACCGGATGACGGGAGCGCACCCCGCCGCGGGGATTCGAACCGCCGACCATGCGATCGGCAAGTCCTAGGCGCTGAGGTTTTACCCACAGCGCCACCCGCGTCCCTGAAAAATACAATAAGTTTCCATTTAAGGAGGAAAAATATGTTTCCAGTCCTTAGGGTTGCAAGGATTAAAGGGGTCTGAACAAGATCACAGAGAGGGGCTTTGGTACCCAAATTTAAACAAACTTGCTTCATTTGTGTAATTTATATGGATTTGTTTTCCTGGCACGAAGTTTTTAGTGCCTTGAGGAAACAGAATCTGTGTTTGCACACAATCCTAAACTATGGCTTGTTCTAACCATGGTTTGTTCAATTGTAAGTTGTGTCACAGGCAAGGAAAACAAACCACGGCTTGTTTCTCCCAAACTTGGTTTGTTTTCCAGCTGCTTCTGCCTCATGATTCTGCATCTTGCTGAGTATTTGGTGTGTGGACAAACAAACTATGGTTAAGCAGGGCTGTTGGGTTCGGACAACTCACAGCCCACTGGAAAGGATCCAGACAGACATGCAAACCAACCATGGCTTAGTGTTTGTTGCAACCAGAGCTCTGGGTGACATTATCTCAAAAAGGATATTGTAGAGTTGGACAATGTTCAGAAGAACCAAAATATTCTAGGGGCTCCCCCCCATTAGGAAAAGTTGCAGAATTTGGAACTATTCAGTTCAGAGAAAAGGTGAGTAAGAGGCAACATGATAGAAGTTTATAAAATTATGCATGGCATGGAGAAAGTGGATGAAGGAATGTTTTTCTCCCTCTCATAACACTAGAATTCATGGACATCTAAAGAACCTGAATGTTGGAAGATTCAGGACAGACAAGAGAAAGGACTTCTTCACACAGCACGTAAATTATGGAATTTGCTCCCACAGGAGGCAGTGATGGCCACCAACTTGGATGGCTGTAAAGGAGGGTTAGACAAATTCATGGAGGAGGAGAGGGTAAATGGTGGTTATGAGCCACAGTGGCTATGGTCTGCCTCCATGGTTTCTGAACACCAGTTGCTGGAAGCCACCGGAGAGGAGAGAGGGCTCTTGGGCTCAGATCCTGCTCCTGGGCTTCCCAGAAGAGGCATCTGGTTGGCCACTGTGAGAACAGGATGCTTAGCTAGATGGGCCATTGGCCTGATCCTGCAAGCTCCTCTTATGTTCTTAGCTTTGGCCCAATTATGGTGCATTACTGACTCCAACGTATTTTTGTTTTGCCAGCGCCCAGGAGAGGTTTGAGGAACCGTCTAGCCTACCGTGGCAAACTTCCCTCTCCAGCAGCATCACTTCAAAGACCCCAGGATTGCCTCCCCCTAAAGGCTGCCGGTTGTGGTTTCAAGGGAGCAAGAAACCCATGTGCAGGATTCCCATACGTCTCAGGCTTGTCTGCACGGAAGGGAAGAAGGGAGGAAGGGAGGAAGGAAGGAAAGATCCTTTGGCTCCAAAATGCATAAAGTGTGAAGCAGCCACATATGACACACCACACAGTGCTGGAAGCCCATACAGCCAGGACAGCAACGAGGAGACTTCCTCGTAAAGCACTGAAGTTATTATCACGCCAAACTCCTCTCTCTGCCTCCACAGCTGCGGAACATCCTCCTCTTCTCCCACAACTGCAAAGCATCATTAGGGAAGGCTGCCGCCTGATTAGTAACAGACAGAAGCATTTCAGCAGAGATCCTGCCTCCTGTAAAGCTAAGCTGCCCTTTGATCTCAGGACCCGCTCATGCTTTGCATATCCCTCCATGGAAGCCACCCTAACAGCCCGGGGCCAATTTAATTCGCTCCAGGAAGCATCTCATTGGAACAAGGCTGGCCATGTACACAGGTTTAATCTATATAGGAAGGGCGATTTCTGTACACCACAAAAGCTCGGGGTTAATAGCCCAGTGGATTAGAGGATTGCAGAAGCAGATCCCACTCTTAACCCCAGGGCACTGCAAGTTAAAAGGGAATCAGGCCAAGGGCTGAGGCTCCAGAGACAGAGTAGCTGGTTCTGCGTCCAGCCTACAGCTGCTTAATGCTCTCTGTACCACAGCACTGAGCAGCTTTCTCCAACCTGGTGCCCTCTAGATGATTTGGGCTTCCACTCTCATCAACTCTAGCATCATACAGCTGTGCTAGCTGGGGCTGATGGGAGCGGTAGTCCAATAGAGGGCACCAGGTTGGGGAAAGGCTGGCGCTGAGACCTTCCTTTGCAAAATGTCTAGTAAGTTTTAAAAACCTACAGACAGAAATACCCCAAACCTACACCCAAGAAACGAAAATGCAACTGCTTGAATAAAGGCTAACAGAGAAAATACATATCTAGGCAGAAGAGCAAAAGGAAGGTGATTTTCTAAAGACAGTTTTGACAACAGCACATTTGGCAAAACTGGGGAGCAGGAACAAGAGGCTGACCACCCCAAAAAGACTCCTAACGGCTGCCTCCTTTTCTCAATCAGCCATACTTTAAAAAAAAAAACAACAAAAACTATTGGATGAAATATTTGGGAAATCCATCACCGCCATGGTCCTCAGAGATATGCAGTGGGACCCATTTTGGGTTGATGCAGCAAGTAAATTACTAAGTTCTTCGTATTCTAAACTGGGGAAAGACCAGAGAGCTCAATCTATCTACTGGAGAAAGATTGATGGGAGTCAGGTGGGGGTGGGCAGGGCAGGGGAGAACAAAAATACATTCCCTTGGCACCCCCCTTCTCCCTCTCCTTTTCCTGCTGAAAATGAGGAGGGAGGTCCCATCCCTTTCAACCCAGTATTACGATCCCTGCTGCAAGAGGAACAAAATGTTGCAAGGCTGGACCAGCTCTGCGTCATTACCTGTCCTCGAGACCAGAAAAAGGAAGCTTAAACAGAAGAGTATAATTTTATAACTAGGCAGCTGTGCAGTCCATTCTTATCAAGCCCTGCTGGAATGAGGAAAGGTTTTTGTTTTTTAACTGAGCTGCCACCAGATACCACCTCCTTCCATTTTTGCCAGCAGAAAACCAGGTTAACAATGCTGGAGATAAGAGAATCTCTCTCCTTGGTTACATCAGCTGAAAATGGGAGCAGCTGAACAAGAGGTGACCTAAAAGTGGTTTAAATGAGAAACCCCCGTCACAGAGATCCTGGCAGCCACACCTCCTGCAGTCTCAGAAATTAATCAAAAGAAAGTTCCCATGTTGACTGCTGGAGAGGGGGAGACCTCCAAATGGAAGTATTTGTATTTATTTATTTGTTTGCAAGGATCAGGGGAATTAAGAGTGAGCCTGCAGACAAGCTGGAGGAATCTGTGCCAGCAGGCAGCCACCACAGGGCAGAGGCAATGCGTTGCAGTGGTTAGAGTGTTGAGCTGGGAGAGGGGCTGTCACTTAAACAGTCACCCTGCAGGAGTGAACAGCAGCCCAAATCCAAGCTTTCACACACAAGGCAGATTGCAGCCTTGGACCAAGAGGAACTCGTAAAGGTAAAGGGACCCCTGACTGTTAGGTCCAGTCGCGGACGACTCTGGGGTTGCAGCGCTCATCTCGCTTTATTGGCCGAGGGAGCCGGCGTACAGCTTCCAGGTCATGTGGCCAGCATGACTAAGCCGCTTCTGGAGAAACCAGAGCAGCGCATGGAAACGCCGTTCACCTTCCTGCCAGAGCAGTACCTATTTATCTACTTGCACTTGAATGTACTTTCGAACTGCTAGATTGGCAGGAGCAGGGACCGAGCAACGGGAGCTCACCCCGTCATGGGGATTTGAACCGCCGACCTTCTGATCGGCAAGCCCTAGGCTCAGTGGTTTAGACCAGTGTTTTTAAACCACTGTTCCGTGGCACACTAGTGTGCCGCGAGATGTTGCCTGGTGTGCCGTGGGAAAAATTGAAAAATTCGAAAGATTTAAAAAATATATATTCAAATTTTCGCCCACTAGGCGGGCGCCGGACTGTGTCCTGGGTATGGGGGGGTGGGGTTTTTGACCCCACCCTCGGCCAGCAGGGGCGCCGATTGGCGCTCCTCAGGGGGACACCCTCCACTTTTCTGATGTCCGGGCTGTGATTGGTCCAGACTCCAGCCTGGACCTATCACAGTAGGACATCATCTTCCGACTTCCTTCCCGCCCGTGCACAGTGTGCGCAGCAGCGGAGAGAAGAAGATGTCGCGACTCAAGTCACCAGGAGGATCGGAGAAGTTGTCATTTTATTTCTCTTCAGTCTCCACTGAATGCCTTGACTGGGTTAGGGACCCTTATAGCTCAGCATCAGTTGGTGGAAAGGACATGACTTTACAGGAGCAGGAGGAACTAACTGAACTGAGACAAAATCGTGGTTTCAAGCTAAGATTTGCTGATCTACCTTTGGACAGTTTTTGGTTGGATACTGCCAAGGAGTTCCCCCTTCTGGCAAACAAAGCTATTTTGACATTGCTCCCATTTTCCACTACATATCTGTGTGAGATGAGCTTTTCAAGCATGATTGCTATAAAAACTAAATACAGTGAGAGCTGTTGACGAAGAGCTACGTGTGTGTCTTTCTTCGATTCCAGCCAGAATATCAGCTTTGTGTTCAGCCAAACAGGCCCAGGTTGCGCACTGAATAAAGTATTTTATAATTTTTCATATTTCTGTTTACTTACTATTTCATAATAAAGTAATTATAAAATATTTTCTTTGTGTTTATTTGATTCCTATTCAAGAGAATTACTTTATATATAGTCAATATAGGCACAGAGTTAAATTTTTTAACATTTTCTAATGGTGGTGTGCCTCGTGATTTTTTTCACGAAACAAGTGTGCCTTTGCCCAAAAAAGGTTGAAAAACACTAGTTTAGACCACAGTGCCAACTGCTTCCCATAGAGGGACTCTTACTGGTTTGTTATTTATTGCATTTATAGCCCAAGAGGAGCTCAAGAGACCAAAGAACCAAGACCACAGAGAAGCGTTTGACACGTGCTTTTTGACTGACACCCAGCCACACGGGAAGGCAAACAGTGGCAGGTGGCATCAAGCGTATTTCATTTTACAACTTAATGAACTCACCACTCAAGGCGGACGTTGTGTTCTCCACGGCCTGGCACACAGCTAATACAATACCTAGAGAAGGAAAAATAGCCAGCTTTAAAAACAGGGATCATTTGAGAGCGTCAAGAGTTTACTTTAGAAGCTCCGGCTACTGAAAATCCCACCGTGACAAGCATTTTCATATTGTGTCAACCCCCCCCCCCTTATTATTCAGGTACATCTGCAACCCAAAGTCAACACCCAAAACACTCTGATGCAACCCAGCAAGGGTGAGAGTTTAGGGTTGTGATTCAAGGCCTGCATGCCATGCTTACTTCCAATATATTTACTTCCAAGTGAACGTACAGAAGACTGGGCTGCATGGCTCAAACTATGTTCCCCCTTCTGCACATGATCAAAGGCCAAAGAGTGGATCTTGCAATCAGCTACTTCGTAATCAAATTAACAAAAATGAATGGATTTCTTGGCAAGAGCACATGCGGGGGCGGGGGGGGGGGGAGAGAGCAACTAAAGTCAGAACTATTCAGACTTTAATCCGGTCTTCATCCTTCTCAGATTCAGGAGTCACTTTTTAACTAATAAAATGGGACTTGATTTTAACTGCCCTTTGCAGCAGTTGAAGATTATACAAAGAAAAAATAAAAGTGTTTTTTGTTTTGTTTTTTAAAGAGTAACTTGATGGGTTTCAGGAGCAAAGAAACCTCATCTGATAGTGTCCCTGATGAGGACGACTGCATGGGATGGAAGTAGGATTGGGGGAGAAATTTGTTCTGTTTGCATTTTAATATGCACCAAATTTGCAAATGCAACTGAAATGCAGCTCTCTTTCAAAATTCATACAGCCAAATTTTGCAGTGCAATTCTCCAACTAAAAAATGCATTAAAATATGTACTGTATGGTAAGGGAAAGGCATACAAAATTGGGCATTAGTGGAAATAACATACTGGACCAACTTCATTACATTACGGGAAAGTGCTTGCCAAAAAGCGTATACCAGGCAACAAATTCCGTCTGTTAGGTGGGCAGAACCACAGGCAGAAGTGGACACAGGAACTTTCACTAGCAAGTGGGGTGGGGAAGAGCATTTGCTTCACATTGTTCCTTTGATTTTGCTGGAGGTGCCAGCTGGGAAGGAAGAGGAGTTGGGGGCCAACCCAATCCCTGGACTGGCTCAGAACGGCACCAGCGAGGACACTGGCTCAGATCCCGACCAAGGCAGCTCTTGGCCGAGCCAAACAGCGACCCATAAATATGCCAACAGCATCACCGGGCGTGATGGGAAAAGATTTGGAAGCGCTTTCACCGACCTCATCCTTGGGATTGGTGCCCACCATGATTCAAACTGGGGCAGAGATCGTGGCATTCCCCCTGCCCCACAGAAGAAGCACCTCTCCAGCTCAGCCGGGGTTCAGCACCCACAAAAAACACAGAGAGAGAACTCATTAGCTCAGCTGGGAATTCTGAGTTATTAAAAGACCGATGGGCCCACGCGGTTCAAAGGAAGAGTTCTTGGGGGAGTCAGAAGGCACAGGAATGCCTGGCAAGGGCTTCCGATGGATTCTCAAAACACTGAACTACAAAAACTGGCTTTCACACACAGCTGGTCTTAGTGACCCCCCTCGTGGGGGGGGCAGGGAAGGGAATCTTTATTTTAATGCATGTATATCTAAGGAGCTGCCAGTCAGAGCGCTGGACCAGCATTTGGGACTGAGTCCCTGCAGCCTTCCCCAGCCTGCTTGCCCTCTAGCTGGTTTAGACTACAGTGCCCACTGGTCCCAGCCAATGCACAGGGATGATGGGAGTTGTAGTATGAATGTACGTAGTATGTGTGCCTGGCGCCTTCATTACATATCTTCAGGTGCCAGGCAAGAGCATTCCCCTTCTCCCAGGTATTGGCCTAATTAAACAATCCATGGGCTTTTAAACCGTGGCGGGCAGGGGGTTATTGCTTTTGTTTGTTATTATGGTATGCATTTTTGTGTTTTTATGTTATAAACTGCACTGGAATCGTCGGATGAAGGATGGAACAGAAATTCAATAATTAAAATAATAAATCAATAAATTACACAAACATACCTAAACAGTGAAGGACACCAGGCTGAACAAGGTTGAAATACTGGTTTTGTTTTATTTTAACTGGAGGTGCCACTGTGGTCCCAGTCCCTGGAGCAATCACTACAAAGCGCCCTTGCTATTTAGTGCAGGGTTGGGGATATCAGAAGCTACCAGTACAGTCACCTCAGTACTGTCAACTCGGACCGGCAGCATCTCTCCTGGGTTTCAGGGTCTCTCTCCCAGCCATCCCTGGAGATGTTGGAGGTAGAACCTGAGAATTCCTGCAGGCAAAGTCAGCTCTGCTCCTGAGCTAAGGTCTTTCCCTACTGACAGAAAAAATTACAGCGCCCCATATTTCCAAGGGGGCTCTCGTTCAAACACTAACCAGGCCTCCCTTCTGCTTAACTTGCAGCTGCTTTCAAGCTGGTGTGCCTTTGTGGGTGGGGGGTGGGAAGAGGGGTGCTGAGGCAGGGCTGGGAATTCCAGAGAAGGGAGAGGAAGAGAGAATGTTTCTCATGCCCCAAGACAGAATGATCAGGTCCACCCAGATGCAGGGCAAAGCCCACATGAGTCACCCTGGTTCGGTTAATCCAGAATAAAGGTCCCTTCCTTAATTCTGCTCTTGAAAGAGACACGGGTGGTTTTGAGGAGACTTTTCTGACAATCTTCTTGGGACATGGGAGTCCATGCAAGGAAGCAAAGGCAAGCACCGGTACAGGCTGCCGTCTCATTGCAGTCTTCTTCATCTCTCTCCCTACCCCCCACCTTGAGTTCACACTCCGACTTCTCCTCTTAATCATCAAATAGTCGCAGTGCAGGAAGACTCCCCAAGCTGACAGGACACACTCACAACCAGAGACAGGCAATGTCAGCTTCCACAAAACAAACACAAGCGCCTCATATTCATGGAACAGAACTGCTTAAGTCGTGGCCCTCTGCTCTTCACCCAGGGTCTCAGACAGATGAGCAAGTGGTCCGACTCTAGGTTGCTTTCTACATCCCCTTCAAAATCATGGCACCCTCAGAGTTCAGAAGCTGCCCGATTCCTGTCTGACCAGCCTGCAGTCACTTTGTCAAGAATGAAGGATTGGGCCTTCGGAACTGAGCAGCGGTGGAGAAGGCAGCACTTTGGGCTCTCAATCAAGCCTCTTGCAGAAGATTCCACAGTGAAGTACAGTATGGTCACAATTTATGCCCATTTAACAGTCACAAATTTGACCACAAAGAATTAGAGTTGTAAGGGGTCCCAAGAGCCATTTAGTCCAGCCCCCTGCAATGTGGGAATGTAAGAAAATAAAGAACTTCTGGGAAATGATATATAATGAGATGAAAAAGATGTTGAAATATACATTTTTTAAAAAACCAGAAGCATTTCTACTTGGTATTATAGGTCAGGATATTAATAGGCAAGATGTCAAATTGTTTTTATACGCAACAACAGCGGCAAGAGTATTGTTAGCCCAGAAATGGAAGCAAGAAGAAATTCCAATGAAAGAAGAATGGCAGACGAAAATAATGGACTATGCAGAATTGGACAAAATGACAGGAAGGATTCGAAACCTGCAGGAACAGAGATTTACAGAAGATTGGAAGAAGTATATGAACTATTTGAATAGCAATTGTAATCAACAAATTACGCTAGTAGGACTACAAGAAGTTGTGTAGGAAGAAATATATGAAGTGCTACAAAGTAGCTAAAGAATAGAGATATTGGTTATGAATTTTAAATGTAACAGGGAATAAGAAATGTATACTAAGAGATTAGATTGGAAAATTTTCAGACTGGACTGATGGAAGTCCAAATATTGAATAAGATGTTAAAATATGTTTAATTACTGTTGAAAATGGCATGTTAAAAAAACTAATAAAAAATTATTTTTAAAAAAAATCCAAGCAAGGGCAAGAGCTTAAAAGCTCTCGTTGTGTGGCGTCTGCTTGGGCTACCCAACATGGAAGGAGTTTTTAAGTGCTTCTTCTTACTGGGAGGGTGGGGGCAAGACTTGCTCAGTGCACCAGCTCTGGGATGCTCTCCTGAGATCTTGAGGGGCATCTGCGTTCTTATGAGATCTCGCAGGAGCATCCTTCCAGAGAGGAGGGGCCAAGAACACCTTGCCCACCAAGCAGACCTGGAGCGGAAAGAGCTTTCTCATTCTCTGCCTTGCTGGGCAAAGCCAGCTCAGCACTCAGTCCCTGGGAGTCCTGGGGATTCTCTCTCCCTCTCCTTCACCCACTAAGTAGCTCCAAGGGTTTGGTATACATGGTTTTCGTGCAAACATGGAACCCTTGGACCCAGACCCCCACGTAAGATGCAGTCCCACTGTACCCAGACGGGGGTGATGGAGGGAGCGGAAAGAAGAGAAGGGTTGGCGATCCAAGGCAGTTATTCCTTTTTTTGTTGTTAAATAATTTTTATTAGTTTTCAATTATAAAAATCCAATACTGTATATGCCATGTTGTATCAATACCATATTACCCTGCACATTTCTCATCAACATTAAAAAATAACCAAAAATAAAACACACACACACCCCAAATCCCCAGACTTCCCTCCACCCCCTCTTCTGGTTCTTTAAATAAACCAAATCATCTTACATTCCAAATCTTTTTACCCAATTTTCCAACTACTAAACAATTAAATTTCTGATACACTGCACAGATATTTTAAATATTTAAACTGTTTTATGCATTACACATCTCTGCTTACAGACTTTCCCCTTTTAAAATTATCCTTATTGTTGCTTTTTGCAAGCGTTTTTAATCCATGTCTGCTGATGTCCTGATTTATTTACAATCGCTGGCCCCTAAATAAAAACCATTTCCCAGACAGTTACCCATTCTTTTTTCTTACTTTGGCATATTTAAATCTCCTCCGGAAGAGGCTTCTCATTAGGACAATTCCCAATTTCAACCCCCCCTTCCTTCCAAATTTCTCTCTGTCTCCACGACTGTGATTTCACCAAAATTTCTCTAACTCAAGGCAGTTATTCCTACAGCATATTGAGAACTGTGCAAACGCAAATGTGCGCGCGCACACACACACTTTGTTCTACTGAATTACATGGCGCTTCCAAGACAAAACAAGCAATAGCAAAACAGGCAATAGCAGCACAACAAAGCATTGAGCAGCGAGCAGCAGCAGGGAAGATGTTTGCACCCCAGCTCCCCAATCACAGCCACATACAAGGGGACGTAATTGGAAGCAGAAGCAAGGAAGTGCAACCACAACAGAGGTCTGCCTGCCTGGAAGGAGACCCGGCAGGACCACAAAGGAGGAGGAGCGCTCCTGGAAGGAGAGAAAACTTCGTTTCCCAGCTTGATTCAGAGGAAGTTCACGGCAGCTGTTCCAAAAATGGAAACGGCACAAAGCAAGACAGCAAAGGTGATCCCACCAACGTTTCTGTCCCAGACAACAACAAAAATCCGAACAGAAAACCCTCCCTTACCATTCAGGATTCTTTAAGAGCAGGAAAAGAGTCTTTTGCAAAAGCTGCCAATACTTATGTCTGGGAATTCATTTTGATGGCAAAGTTAACAGAAAGGATACGTGAAAGAAAACAACTTGAGAAACTACCGTATTTTTCGCTCTATAAGACACACCAGACCACAAGACGCACCTAGTTTTGGGAGGAGGAAAACAAGAAAAAAAATATTCTGAATCTCAGAAACCAAAACAGCAAGAGGGATCACTGTGCAGTGAAAGCAGCAATCCCTCTTGCTGTTCTGGCTTCTGGGATAGCTGCGCAGCCTGCATTCGCTCCATAAGACGCACACACATGTCCCCTTACTTTTTAGGAGGGAAAAAGTGAGTCTTATAGAGCAAAAAATATGGTACATAACTTTTACATAATGTGGTCCTCCATTATTACATTCACATCAAAGAAAGAACTTGCATTTAAACCACCTAAGACACACAGGAGCATGTGGAATGATATTTCTTAAACCAGCAACTCTAGAAATAATTTTTTATTTGGCTATATTACTAATGTAATTATCTGGACGTAGTTGGGGCTGTTTGGGGGGGGGTTAGGGGAAAACTGTATTTGATTGCTTGTACTTGATTATATGTTGTTCTTATATTCAACTAATAAAATATTATTTTTTTAAAAAAAGCTGCCCTGTACCATGAGAAGTCTGCATCTGCCCCAGCAAGTTATGTTTGCAGGGCATCAAACCCAACAAGGATGGCATCCCTGAGATGCTCCTGTGCTGCCTGTTTTGGTTGCACAAAGTCACTTTGCACCACACTGTTAGGCTACCTCTCACAAACTGGGCTGTGCGCACACCATGTTGACAAGATTCCAATTCTGAAACCAGACACGCCAAGGTCTCTGGCGAACAGAGAGGTATCTCACAATCACAGTGAGCAAATTGTCCCCGTTGTAATGAAATATGCAGTGTGGTACAGTGGTTAGAGTGTCGGACTAGGACTTGGGAGAGGAAAGGGTTCCAATCCCCACTCAGTCATAAAGCTCACTTAGGATAGTTGCTGCCTCTCAGCCTAACCTGCCCTACACGGTTGTTGTGCGGAATAAATGAGGAGGGTGGGAAGCATGTATGCTGCCCCTTGAGCTCCTTGAAAATAAAGGTGGGAAATAAATGCAATAAATAAATAAACCAAGTTTATTGTCATGCAACTCTATCCTATGTATGTAGTGTGATGGAGGCAGCAGGACCCTGGAACAAACACACATCCTGCTCACGTGGACTGGCACTCATGCCGGCCCACCCCTCTGCCTCCAGCCGGCCACTTTCAAGCCCGTCGCTGCAACAAACACTTGGAAGCATTTGCTTTATCTGAAAGGGCTCTGATCTTCTAGCTGCAGAATTCAGGCCCATGAGAAAATTCTGCCCTCCCTTAGAATTGCACAAGATGAGCAGAGCTACGCAACGTTAGGAGCTGCTATTACAGTAACGTACGTCAGTGTGCTAATACCATGTCCCAGTTGTCTTGTAATGCTGGCATAACAGCACAGATGGTGACTTCATGCCTTGGCAAAAGGAGCCTCTTGAAGACCTCTCCTGTGGAGAGGACCAAGAAGGGCTGGTGGGTGGGACAGGGGAATGAACACAAGAACATACAAAGAGCCCGCTGCATCAGGCCAATGCATCCTTTTCTCACCGTGGCTGACCAGATGCTTGTGAGAAATCCACAAGCAGGATTCGAGACCTCTCCCCTCCTGTGGTTCCCACCAGCTAGTCATCATGGCTAGTAACCATCACTATTCCTCTCCTACATGTCTTTGTCCAATGGCGACCATGACTGCCACCCGTGGGAGAGAGCTCCACAGTTAGGTATAGGAATGGGACCAAACCCTGGGGATTCTGCCTAAAGGGGAAAGGGCACCAACACACCTTCCTCTCTCAAAAAATTCAAGGGTCCGTCTTTTTAGTCGAGGACCCACATGACTGTGCCATACGACCACAGTTCTACAAAACAAGCACAGCACTGAGCAATTGTTCAAGCAATTTGCAAAGTCACACACAATGAGTAGGCGCAGACCAAGTCAATGCAAAGCGATTCTGTGTGATGTAAAGGCAAAACATTTGCAGCTGAAAGAAAAGAGGGCCTTCCCAAGTTCTTCGGAAGAGGGTGTGTGTATACGTGCCACCCCCACCCCCAGCCCTTGCCCTGGGGAAAAAACCACTGGGCTTTGCTCAAGCAATTTTGGGAGGCAAAAAATGAGCCATGAACAATACAGTGTGTTCCTCTTTTTTCCCCCTCAAGGCAGCACAATTTTCTGCTTCAGGAGTAGTATACGGTCATTCTGGTTTTGTTGATGCGAGTGGCAGAGAGAAGCTGAACTATGAAGTCCAGAATGTTCTGAAGCCAGTGTGTGGCCTACAGTGTGAACCTTCTGCATGAATATATGAGAGCCAACCAGGTACCCTCCAGATGTTTTGTACTACAACTCCCTCCAGCCCCAGTTGGGCTCCCAACAGTGTGAGCATTGCATGGTCTTGTCGGCAGGGGCTGGTGGAAGCTGAAGTCCAAAACATCTGGAGGGCACCTAGTGGGAGAAGAGGGCACTACAGGGCCATAGCCTGATCAGAGATGGTCTGCAACAGCAATGTGATCACCATACCAGCCTAAGAACCAAAAAGGAGCCTTTTAAGGTAGTTCAGCTTGAGCCTCCTACTAAACTGAGTGAGGAGCCGGCTAGCAAGTGAATTGGTGATAGAAGGGAGGTGTGAATTGGGGGGAAGGGGTCTTCTCCAGTTCATCCTCTTTCTACAAAACTATACCAGCAGCCTTTCTGAACATTACCTGGGGTTCCCACAGGGATGGAAAGATGGACAGTCTGGTAGCATATCCCAAAAGTATGCCACAGCCAAGGTGAGCTTCTCAAAGTCACCTCCACCCGCCCCCACCCCCAAAAAGACTCCAGCCTCCCAGAGGGAAACAAAAGAGTAAAGTCACTACAGTGGTACCTCAGGTTAAGAACTTAATTTGTTCTGGAGGTCCGTTCTTAACCTGAAACTGTTCTTAATCCTAGGTACCACTTTAGCTAATGGGGCCTCCCGCTGCCGCCTCACCGCGATTTCTGTTCTCATCCTGAAGCAAAGTTCTTAACTCGAGGTACTATTTCTGAGTTAGCAGAGTCTGTAACCTGAAGCGTCTGTAACTGAAGGTACCACTGCAGATGGTTTGTTTTTCCCACTGCGAGATCTCCATGTTTTGCCATGGGACCCAAATCCTGGTTAGACTATTCAGAAGACCAAGATGCACCCAAATATCCCGCCATGAGACCACCACCAAGAAGGCAGAGGGTTCAACTAGATGTATATTATATTCTCAAGTCAGATGGCTAGACAGACAGCAAAGGAATGATGAAGGGAAACTTTGGGAGGCAAAGTCACTGCAAAAGTTTAAGAATGGCTATATCAGTGGTTCCCAAACTTATTGGGGCCACTGCCCCATAAACTCATCCCCAGTGCTGCCTAGTCTAGCCTGGCCAGGACTGCATGACCCACTAAGGAATATAATAACACAATAACATTCAAGATAGCAACAATTCAACATCTATTCAAACCCCAATTAAACCTGTTTAGTTTAATTAATGCAACAAAGCTGATGAACTTGATCCAGCGATATCAACTTTTCAAAGTCTAATAGTCATTCACATCTCCAGTGCCCCCTGCATCCCCTTGCCTCTCAGTGCCCCCCTAGGTAACCCCACTGCCCCCCAGTGGGAGGGATCAGTCGCTTTGGGAACCCCTGGGCTACATCCCATTCACCTGCAGATGGTGGGGCTCACAATCTCTCCCACCACCTCAGTGCCCGCTGGGTGTCTGGGACTGCAGCCCCCGTCAGCCGTTGTGGCTGAGGTTGATGGGAGTGGCTGTTCTCTAGGGGTCTTCAGCTACATGTAAGGGGAAGCTGCCCTGTATATATAATAAACAGATATAACAGATGGTTTTATATTATAATAATACTGCCTACCAAGGGAGAAATGCAGTTCAAGAGAAGCTGCAATCTGTAAGGAACTGGCTGTGCCTTCCCACTTCACACATGGCCAGTTGGCATCTTAAGCTCCCCAATGCACCTGAAAGTCTCTTTACTCAACTAGCAAAACTGACAAGTTTCGGTGGCATGAGAGAGCATTGTGTGCCAAGAGAAACCCAGCAGTGGAGGGTGGAGCTGCTCCTCTCCCTGGATCGGCTGGGAACAGAAAAGCGAGCAAGAGGGAAATGTAGCAATGCAACAGGATTTCAGCCTCCTTCTCCTAGGAAATTCTCACACAAACATGTCACAACCCTTCCATACAGCAAAGCAGGCCACAGTTTGGAAACCCACAATACTGTAATCAGCCCTGATTTTAGCTAGAAAGTTGTGTGTAAACTGTGTGCTTGGGTAAAAGGCAGCAGTGGGTATAAATTCAATTAAGGGAAATGTAAATTAAAAGAGACTCACTGCTTGTTCTTCAAAATACAGTTGTACCTTGGTTATCAAATGTATTGGTACTCAGATGTTTTGGCTCCTGAACGCTGCAAACCTGGAAGTGAGTGTTCCAGTTTGCGAACGTTTTTTGGAACCCGAACATCCAATGCGACTTCCGCGGCTTCTGATTGAGTGCAGGAAGCTCCTGCAGCCAATCGGAAGCCGTGCCTTGGTTTCCAAACCGTTCTGGGAGTCAAACAGACTCCTGGAACGGATTAAGTTTGACAACCAAGGTACCACTGTATACAAAACCTCAGCTGCAAGCAAACACTGCTCTAGAAACCTTAAAAAAGGAATCTAACAACAATTTTCAATTGCTCCATTTTCCCCCTTGCCCGTTTTGCTGTTCTCAGAACTTTCATATGGATATTTTAGGAGATCAAATGAACAAACAATTAAATCCAGCGACTCTGAGATAACTTGTTGCCCCAAGTATATGCTGGAAATACAGCTGGAAATTCTGGGACATGTGTCCTAGGGCTATGTGTTACTTCATGTGGGGAAGGGCTGTAGCTCAGTACACCTGCTTGGCATGCAGAAGGTTCAATTCCTGGCATCTCCAGGTGGGCTGACAGAGACTCCAGCCAGAAGCCCTGCTGAGCCACAGCCAGTCAGTTTGGACAATAGTGAGGTGGATAAGGCAGCTTGCTATGATCAGTGGCACCCCCTAAAAATACCTCTGCCCCCCAAGCAGCCAGTGGGGTTCCTCGTGCAGTTAGGCTGGCCTCATTAAAAGCCAAAGAGATCATCAGCACACACGGACAATTAGAGACGCCATTCATAAAAAACAAACCAGACATTCAGCTAATGCATTCAGGAATCGTTCCATGTTCATCTAAGCATCTCTCGAGGCAACACTGAAAGTGTTCCTGGTCATTAACAGACTCTGCTCCTCAAATACTATTCTGAAAAAGGAAAATCCAGACCTGAATAAAAAGGTGGTTCAAGGGTGATAAAGATCACTTGCCCACCTTGTTTGGTGCTATCTGTAGTATCAAAGGTGTTTTTTTTAAAAAAATAGCTAGTAGATGAATATTTCACGTTCTTTCATCCAAAGAGCTTGAAGTGGCCTGCTCAAAGTGGTTCTCCTTCTCCTCATTTTTATCTTCACAGCAACCCTGCAAAGGAGGTTAGGCTGAGAGGCTGTGACTGGCCCCAGGTGACGCAGCGATCGCCATGGTGGACTGGGGATTGGGACCCTGTTCTCCCAGGTCCAGGCCCAAAAGCACAAAGCACAAAGCGCTGAGAGACACACAACTGGAAGATTACAATACAGTGGACAAGTATCATTGCCACAGCATACTTTTCAGCAAGGTTTACAAAGAACCATAGAGCACAAAAATGATGCTTTTGTACTGAAGAATGCTCTGAGCAGCAGGTAACAGACAGCCTTCCGAACAAGGTCCTGTTTCAAATATCTTCCCAAGCTAATACACACCTCAAAAACATTTCAAGGCGCTGACTGCAGTTTTCACAACTGGGAAGACTTCAGGAATGTTCCTCTCTCCAAAGAAGTTACTTCATTCCAAGAGGATAACACCACACAAGGGTCCAGAATTATAGACAAGTTACTAAAGAGAACTGTGCCCTTGTGTGTGATTTTGTATTCCAACACCACTACAAAAGAGCCTGCTGGATCAGGCCAACATGGCCCGTCTAGTCCAGCATCCTGTTCCCACAGTGGCCAACCAGATGCTTCAAGCGGGATCTGAGCACCTCCTGCGGTTTCCAGCGACTGGTTTTCTGGAGACACAGAATAGCCAACCTTCTCCTCTTCCATGGATTTGTCTAATCCTCTTTTAAAGCCATCTAGTTTGGGGGCCGACACTGCCTCCTGTGGGAGCGAGTTCCGTAGTCTAAGTGAAGTCCATGTACAGTGATACCTCTGGTTGCGAATGGGATCCATTCCAGAGCTCTGTTCACAACCTGAGCAGAATGCAACCCGCATCTGCGCATGTGCGGGTCGCGATTTGCCACTTCTGCGCATGCGTGTGACAGCATTTTGAGCGTTTGCGCATGCGCGAGCGGCAAAACCTGGAAGTAACCCGTTCCATTACTTCCGGGTCGCCGCAGGACGTATCCTGAAAGAACGTAACCTGAACCTAACGTAACAAGAGGTATGACTGTAGTCCATAGATGACGCTTCTTCCTGGAGGTGGGCATTATGTCTTAAGCAACATTATGTCTACAGGAGCTTTTGCAGAACAAGCTCTGCTTCAACCTCTCATTCTGCTCTGCTGTAACAAAAGCTTGTCAGCGCCCCAGTGTGAATCGATATTGCCAGGGTGAAACACACAAACCTGCAACAGACCAAGGTCAGATTAACTGGTGGGCTCAATGTACTACAGAGGACAGCCTTTGCAGGCTTCAGGATTCCTAGCCAGGACAAGGAAGAGGTGTGACGAAGTGCCACAGGGCACTCTCTTAGCTCCAATGCCAGTCAATATCTACAAGAAGCTGCTGGGAACAGCAGCCATTAGAAGTTTTGGGGAGAGGTGCCATCAGTACGTTGATGGCAGTCAGCTCGATAACAACTGAGCTGGGAGAGCCGTGACAAGCTGAGCTTGAATCCTGGCAACACAGAGGCCACTGTGGGTGAGTGGTTCCCATGTCAGAAAACTAGTCAAGTTCCTACCCTGGAAAGGGCAGGTTCGCATTCTGGAGATGCTTCTGAATGCTGCTCTGTCTCTGGAGGCCCAGGAAGCCTCAGTGGTTAGAACGCAGAAGCAGCTTCTACCAGCAGAAACTGGTACAGCAGCTGTGACTGTCCCTCGACTGGGAGCATTCAAGCCTCAAGACTGGGCTACTGCAATGCACTCTATGTGGGGCTTCCCTTGAGCCTGATCTGGAAGCTGCAGTTAGTGCAGGATGTTGCGACACAATTGGCAACAGGAGCGAGACCCTGACAGTGTATTAACAGGTGTATTGTTCTCATCTTACCCCATATATGCCCACTTGACCACTTTGATCCACGGAAGTGGCACTACTACAGGTGCCCCACAATACCTGTTCTGCAGTTGTAAGAACTCAATCTTTTAGTGTGGCAGCACTCTGGAACTCCCGGCCTCTTGACATGAGGCAGGTATATTCACCATACTCTTTTTGGCACCTGTCCCAAACATTTTCTGTTCAGGTATCCAGACATATAGAAGGTTGATGTGTGTTTTAATCTGGTTTTTAGTTTGTCGTTGATTTTTTTAAAAAAAAATCAGTGCTTTAAATAGTTGTTTTTCATTGTTTTTTACTGATAGTTTTATTGGTTTTGTAAACCGCTGTAAAGCTGTATTACAATAAAGCAGCATATAAAGCTTGTAAAATAAATAATCCAGTTTCCAAGGCAGTAGTGCAGCCTTTCCCAGCATGGTGCTTTCAGCTGTTTTGGAATGCAACCCCCACCAGCCCTAGGCCATGGCTGGGAGTATGATACTGCAGCTCTCACTCCCCCTCCTCTCTTCTTCCCCAACCTTAAACCATGTATAACATTATACAGTCGTACCTTGGAAGTCAGACGGAATCTATTCCGGAAGTCTGTTCGACTTCCAAAATGTTCGGAAACCAAGATGCAGCTTCTGATTGGCTGCAGGAAGTTCCTGCAGCCAATCAGAACCCACATCAGACGTTCGGGTTCCAAAGAATGTTCGCAAATCGGAACACTCACTTCCGGGTTTGCAGCTTTTGGGAGCAAAGGCGTTCAGCAACCAAGGTACGACTGTACTGTCTCACATCAAATATAACTGATCTGTAGAAAGGATTCTATGAATGGAAAACAGAGACTTTTGCAACCCAATAAAATATTTAATAAAAACAATCTGAACAAGAAAAGGGGGGAAGCAGTTCAGCAGCAAAACAGGGTTTAGGACTTATGAAGTCCAGACTATGCCAGTCTCTGCTTCCCAAAAAGTTAGTTAACAACGCCTGGGCCTCGCCTGCTACACTCAAGTTCGCTGAACAGCTCAGCTGATTCGGCCCCCTGGTCTCTCAAGATGTTCATTAAAATGTGGTGGTTCCGCTTCCCATGCAGGAACGCTCAGCAGAAACTTCTGGGCGCTTTGATCCATCGCTCGCTTTCAGCCGACATTTTATCCAGATGTTATTTGCCAACCATTGTGCCTCTTTTAGCTTTTAATGAAAATAAACAATCCTATTGTGAAACTTAAACCAAATTGCTATTTCTGGTCTCATTAGTACGATGCTAATTTTGACTCCCTCCTCTCATTTTTGCCAGGAAAAAAAAGAAATAGGATGTCTTGTCCTCTGGCCTCAGCTACTGTTTTCCTGGGGAACTTCCAGTCCCCCCGCAAGTGAGGGAAGCCCTTTTCGTGCAAATCCTTTGATTTAAATTCACTCTGAACTCTTGGCCCTTGGACCTGCACAGATATGTCTGGGACCGATTCACAGCTTTCAACACAGAGTAGTGACAGGGCTGGGCAAATAAACTGAATGAGGCTTTTGCAACAGTCTAATCTACAAATCAACTGATAATGCTGGCCTGGGGTTGGTTGGTGTACACAGTGTTTTGCCTTGGGCTACAACTGCCTGCAGAGATTATGTGACACTTCTCTGCTTTTGCTTTACTAAAGTTGAAAGAAAACAACCCAAATGTGGCTTCAAGTGACCTTAATCACACTCACTTCGGAAGACAGCTAAAGCCACAGGGGCCCCTGAAGGACACCACATACTGTGTCCGTATCCAGGTCAGACAGTTAGAAGCTGCAGCACAATTTCAGAGCACATCAACACCTAGCACTGTAAAAAGTAGGTATGGTACACCTTGAGGGCACATCTTAGTTAGTTACTGTGCTAGTGTACCAAACAGCCTTTAAAGCTAAAGGTAAAGGACTCCTGGACGGTGAAGTCCAGTCAAAGGCAACTATGAGGTGCGGCACTCATCTCACATTTAGGCCGAGGGAGCCGGCGTTTGTCCACAGACAGCTTTCCAGGTCATGTGGCCAGCATGACTAAACCGCTTCTGGCACAACGGAACACCATGATGGAAACCAGAGCGCACAGAAATGCTGTGTACCTTCCCGCCAGAGTGGTACCTATTTACCGTATTTTTCGCTCTATAAGATGCACCAGACCACAAGTTTTTGGAGGAGGAAAACAAGAAAAAATATATTCTGAATCTCAGAAGCCAGAACAGCAAGAGGGATCGCTGCGCAGTGAAAGCAGCAATCCCTCTTCCTGTTCTGGCTTCTGGGATAGCTGTGCAGCCTGCATTTGCTCCATAAGACACACACACATTTCCCCTTACTTTTTAGGAGGGAAAAAGTGAGTCTTATAGAGCAAAAAATACGGTATCTACTTGCACTGGTGTGCTTTTGAACTGCTAGGTTGGCAGGAGCTGGGACAGAGCAACTGGAGCTCACCCCGTTACGGGGATTCGAACTGCCAACCTTCTGATCAGCAAGCCCAAGAGGCTCAGAGGTTTAGGCCACAGTGCCACCCGTGTCCCATCAAATAGCCTTTAGTTCCATCTGACTATTCCAGCGCTGCAAGATAGATCCCTCTTAAGCAGCCAGGGAATGGCTTAAGGTTAGCAGGAATCCTCACTCCAGAACTGGCTTTCAGAAGCAGCCTTGCTCTCACTAAACCCAAATATTAGGGTACATGTGGCAATTCCAGTTATCATGAAAAAACATGCACTTAAGAGACATCATCATTGGAGCCAAACAAACAAGTGGCTGAAGATGAAGATTCTCCCTTTAGATTCTTGTGTTGAATTATGCAAAAGTTGGAAGCATGTTCCATGAGAACATGGGAATGGAGCACTTGCCAGCGTAGTTTACGCCTGTATACCTTTGGCTTTCACCCAAGTTAAAGGCATGCTATTTATCCTATAGATTTCTCCAACCTGACACCTTCCAGATGTTTTGGACTACAACTCCCATCAGCCCCAACCAGCACAGAGGCTGATGGGACTCGTAGCCCAAAACATCTGGAGAGCACCAGGCAGGATATGTCCAACTGTTGAAATAAAAACAAAGCTGCAACAAAATGTACGTCTCTTGCATTCTTTGGGGCCAGAAGGGAAACCTCCACTGCCGCCCTCACCTCCCTCATAAGGAAGGTTCATCAAGCAAGGCTGCAACTTCAGTTGAGCAAGAGGAGCATTTGTGAATTGACTCTTTCTGATACAATGCCTGGGAATGCGTTTCTGCATCACCTCAAATACATTTTGGTTGTGTCTCTTTACACATTCTACTTCCCATCATCAAAACACAAGAGAATAGACTGGCAGGATTGGGGTAGGGGTCACATGCACACGTTCTCTTGAAATGCCCCAAAGATTCTTGATTCAAGATCCGGTCCTGTTCCAACCTATGTCAATTTCGCTTTAATTAAGTACAGCTTTTCTTTTTTAGTTTTCCCTCAAACATATGCAACCAGAGCACAGCCCCTCTGCCTTTTCCAAGACCCTCAATCAAAATGAGGGGGGCAAAATGCAAGCGGGGTATAGAAAGGATAGAAGACATTTCCTAGTGGATAAGGCCCATATTATTTACATGAGGAATCATGCAAGACTTGATTTCTTCCTGCTCAGTGTTTGAACTGACTCTTTTGAAAATGGTGTGCTTGACAATACTATTGCAAGGCACTTTTAAAGTTCCACCTTCAGCATCTGTCCACGATTACACATTCACACATGCAATTAACCACCTGATGGTACAGGAATCAACAGGGCATGCATGTGTGAACTGCCTGCAAGAGAAACTGACCAGTTTTATGAAACCACCATTTGGAACCCTGCCCCTGAATTTGCTCTGTTATACACACCAGGCCACAGATAAACAAGACAACCCCCACCCCCCGGACACACACCCTGAAGCCTATTAATCACAGCTTAAATTCTGCAACCTGATCCTAAACATGTTTACTCAGAAGCAATTCCCACTTAATTCAGCTGCACTTAGGAAATGAGCAATCTGGATAGTTCTGTATTGTGGAAGCATGCACTGTGATTTTAAGGAAGCTCCTTGGGGCAAGGACCAGTCATTTTTGACATATTAATCTAGAGCACCATGGTCAAGGATGACACCACCTCAAGCACTCAGCTCTTGGTGTATTTGTGTTGCAAGATCCTTAAGGCAATTTTCAAGTTCTTCACTGGGGAAATCCTGTGATTCCTTGATGAGAAGATCTGCAACAGCAGGTCAAGGGTTCCTGAAAGGCAGAGCGGCCCAACATGTAGCTTCAAGGGGAGCACTGGATGCAATATGGGGGTACCCCCTCCATAGCTTATTGGCCAGTGCCAAGACTTATTCCACATGTGCCAAGCATACACCCTAGAAAAGCCTTCCCCAGCCTAGCACCCCCTGATGTTTTGGACCACAACTCCTATCAACCCCAAACAGCATGACGACTGATAGGAACTGCAGTTCAAAACATCTGGAGGGCACCAGGTTGGGGAAGGCTGACCTAGAACACAACCCAGGTTCTCCCGTAGGGTTTAGGGATTCCATGATAGTCAGGCTGCCGTGGAAAGATCTGAGAGCCAGTGTTTTAAGGAAGGTGGCCTCTGACTTACATACATGGGTGAAAAACTGACTGATGAAAAGGAAGATCACCAGGAGATTATTTAAGAACATGCCTGATTAAACAACCTTCATTCATAACACTGAGCTATTAAGATTTCAAAAAACAGGAACTGGGAGCAAGGGAGAGGTCTTGAACCCAGGAAAGAATTACGATAAAGTGTCTAGCCTTTCGATCCAGAAGGTATCTCCTGCGTCTGGTGTCTCATAACGAAAAGCTATCCAAGCGCCTGGTAACTGGAAGCCAGAGATATAACAACCGAACACTAACACTACTATGCCTCTAACCTGAGAAGATAATAGCTGAACTTTTAATCCTTTGCTAAAACCCACTTGCGCTTTTATAGGCCAGATGTCTCCTTCTTTCCCAATACCTGTGGCACTCAGGGCCAAACCCAAACGGGTCAGTGTCACACATGAAGCCAGAACCCAAGGGGCCGTTCTCCTCCCCCACTTGACTGACCGACTTTTATCAGTCTCGTTTTAACCGATTATTTCCGCAGGTGATCCTTAGCAGGATTCAGTCCAAAGAACAAACTTCTTAACTGCAACACTTGCTAGTTTTTCTGAGAGTGCGCAGAGAGAGGGGGGAAACTGCTCCCTGCTGATCTGAGCTGCTGGGAGAAGCTGGAGTATTGCTTATTCGGTTTAATTTATTACAAGTTACATAACCTTAATGCCCATACAGGAGTTTGGACCCAAGTCAGCCTTCTTTACACCCCAGCAAATCCCACAACAGCACAAGCTCACACCTAGTAGCAAACACCCATCAATGTTTTTAAAAAGTGCCATTTGTTAAATTCTCCAAAACAGCATCTCTGTAATTATCTGGCTATTTCACATTTCAAAAAGATTGCTAATCGCTCGGAACAAAAACAGCCCCAGTCCATATTGTGCGTTCAGGCTGCTTTTGCCGTGTAATTAAAAGGAGGACATTCACAGGTAAGCAAAGTCACCCTAAAAGGCATTTATTTGCCACCCCCTTTTTAAAAAACTGTTTACAATAAGACAAAAAATACCATGGAGGGTCTAAATGCCTCCAGTTTCTACTGTTCAGCCACCAAAGCAAATCTAGTAAGGAAACGGGAGGAGGAACAGCAGGCAGCAGAGAGAAGAAAATGCCCCCAAAATGTGGGGGGGGGGGGGCGCGGAGGCGGCAGGGAAGCAGAGAAGGAAGAGAGAGGGGACAGATAATCCGATTGCTTCGCTTTATCAGTCCGCGGTGAAGTCTTGAGCAGAGATGGATTACTTAGAAAGCCTTGCATGTATTCTAAAGCGGGTAGCTCTCAGCAGCCACTATGTACTTTCAAGCAGGTAGTCCTCTGTGAGGCGGCTTGCTGCCTTCTGTCCTTTCTTCTTGGTTAAATAAAATGTCATTTATTGCAGTTCTACCCCACCTTTGTCCTCCAAGGAGCTCAGAGGGGTGTGGTGGTCCTCCCCCACCTCATCTGACCACCACCACAGCCCTGGGAGGTAGGCTGGGCTGAGAGGCAGTAAGTGACTGGCCCAAGGGCACCCAGGGAGCTTCACGGCCAAGTGGGGGATTTGAACCCTGGTCTCTCTCAGCTTCTAGTCCGCCTCTCTCTAACCACTACACTGCACAGCCTCCCATCTGCTCTTCTCCTCCGCCTCCGGAGCTCGGAGGGGGAAAGCGGGTCTGCGAAGGAGGGGAGCGTTTTGGAAAGCGGCGGCCAGAGACGCCAAGACTCCGCGCAGCAGCTCGACGGGACGCGCGACACTTCTTCCATCCCAGGTAAGTTTACTCGCGAGGGCTGCTGCTCTGGGTTCCGGGGTGCTTTTCCTCGCGAGTAAAGGCTCAGTTGGCAAGGGGAGACGGAGCCGCGCCCGGACGGGAGGGGGCCACTTACCGAGGGTGAGGAGGGCCACCTCGGCGGCCGCCGCGCCGACCATCTTGCCGGGCAGCCGAGGAGGAGGAGGAGGACGGGGAGCGGCGTCGGCGTCGGTGGACTCAGCTGGCCAGCCCTCGGCCCCCGGCAGCGGCGGCGGCGTCGAGCATTCCCGGCGGGGCCGGCGTGGAGCCCCTTCGGCGGGCGAGCGGGAGGCGCGTCCCTCGGCCGCTCGGCAGCGATGCACCTGCGACGGGCGGAGCAGCAGCAGCGAGCGCCTTCCCCGGCCGTCGGAGCGAGCAAGGGCGTCGGTGCGCTCCTCTCGGCGCGGCTCCTTCCAGGTGCGCGGCGCGGCCCCGAGTGGCCCAGGCGGCGAGCGGCGTCCGGGGCCCCTCCTCCTGGCGCTGCGCCGGCCTCCCTCCCACGCCCCCCCGGGCGCGGTGGCGGCTCCGGCCCCCGGGACGCCCTGCAGAGGCGCCCCGCGGGCGCTAGGCGGCGACGGGCAGCCGCCCGGGAGAGGCTGCACGTCGGAACAGCTGGAAGTCCGTCCCCGCGACCCGCCAGGAGGGAGGTGGTCGCGCCGCCGGAAAGCCTCGCTTGAATGCCTCTGTTTCTTTTGGACGGGGGGAGCTCATGAAAACCAGGGGAAAGTTTCATGGAAAAGTTTCGAATTGCAACTTTTTTTTTAGGACAGTACTTCCACTCTTGTATGTGATAAAAAGTGCATTTTATATTTGCAACACAATAAAAATCCTTTAAAAAAAAAGTTTGGTTTAGAATTATTGCCCCCGAAGAATGAATGATGCTCTAACTGTAAATGTATTTTTCCCTAATGATTTTCTTTTTTAACTTTAAACTGCTTTTAGATGATTATCATTGTAATTGCTTTCAGAGTGTTTGAAACAGTTTCAGAATATTCCTATCCCTTCTTTTTATTCCCCTTTTTGAATTGCGGGTCTGTTTGCCGCTGCCCCCCCTTGCCCAGGCTGCTTGGCTTGGATGGACAGGGCTAGAAATTCAACAGATAACTCAAGAAGGAGCCTCTGGGGTTGCCTACGATTTTGTAGCTCTGCTGCGTCTTCAGGTGTTGCCATTACTCAAACAAGAGGCCCTGATCCGTCCCAGGTATCTGCAAAACCTCTCCATTCCCAAATTGCATCATGAGAAACAAGGCAGACCTCTCCTCTCCCCGCTCACCAGCTGGGGCAACCCAACAGACAACATATTTTCCTCTTAGTCATTCAGGTGACTTGCACCTATTTGACTTAGGGATGGCCACATAATGTAGTTTTTGCAGCAGAAACCAAAAGCCAGAAAGTGTGTTATGATGAGCAATTGGCTAAGAATGACCTGAAATATCTGCACATTCGTATCCAGACTGGATGGCAGCCATGGGGACAAGCGGGAGAGTGGCAGGTGAGACAACCACTTACATGGAGAGACAGGTAAGGATTGCAGGGGGCTGGACTGGATGACCCTGGTGAGAGGTCCCTTCCAATTCTATGACTCTATGTTAAAGTGCAGGGCTACAAGCTTAAAACATCTTCTTTTAGCTTGAAAGACTAACAGATATCTTATGTGGGGCTACCTTTGAAGGTGACCTGGAAACTACAACTAATCCAGAATGTGGCAGCTAGACTGGTGACTGGGAGCGGCCGCCAAGAGCACATAACACAGGTCTTGAAAGACCTACATTGGCTCCCAGTATGTTTCAAAGTGTTGGTGTTGACCTTTAAAGCCCTAAATGGCCTCGGTCCAGTATACCTGAAGGAGCGTCTCCACCCCCATCATTCAGCCCACTGAGGTCCAGCGCCGAGAGCCTTCTGGCAGTTCCCTCACTGCGAGAAGCCAAGTTACAGGGAACCAGGCAGAGGGCCTTCTCGGTAGTGGCACCTACCCTGTGGAACACCCTTCCACCAGATGTCAAAGAGAAAAAAAACTACCTGACTTTTAGAAGACATCTGAAGGCAGCCCTGTTTAGGGAAGCTTTTAATGTTTGATGTATTACAGTGTTTTAATATTTTGTTGGAAGCCGCCCAGAGTGGCTGGGGAAGCCCAGCCAGATAGGCGGGGTATAAATAATAAATTTTATTATTATTATTATTATTATTATTATGACATTAACTTTCACAGATTACTGCAGACCAGAACAGCTTCTGCCACAATAAATCTGTTGGCCAACAAGGTGCCACAAGACTCTTTCTTCTTTGTACTACGACCCTTCTGAAAAGCCTAGATTAATTTTCTCTGTATGTTCACAAACTAAAATTTTAGCTGAGGCCAGTTTTAATGAGCAAGTGTAATAAAAAAATGTTCACTAGTGAAGCTATAAATAGGGAATCACACTTGGAGAGGGGGGGCGAGAAAAGAGTGGTTTTTTGTTTCTCGTGGGTGACTATAAGCCAGAAAGAAAAAGGATATTAACACAAAGGCCTTTCCTGCTTAGAAATATGTAGTGAGCCTCACCAGTTATTTGGCGGGGGGGTGTCTTTCGTGGAACTCGCCAGGGTAGCGAAATAGTAGTACTAAAACAATGGTACTAAAAGGTGCCCCCTGGTGGTGTGGCAGTGGAACAGAAAAGAGCCTTGCTGGGATTGGGGGGGGGGGGCGGGAGTCAGACTACAACTCCCTTCAACCTGTGGTCTAAATTACATCTGGAGGGCACCACGTTGGGAAAGACAGTGTGAGTGCTTTGGATGATAGCTGGAATGTATGCAGAACCATTGCCCAGGAGAACACTGCCCGACGGCCAACTGAAGAAATTTTTGCAACAGCCAGAAAAGCAAATTTGACTCATTCCTCTCTTTTTTATTTATTTAATCCATTTTTTTGATACAAACATCAACCGCAAAAGACACATACAACAAAAACCATAATAACAGTAATAACACAATTTGACAATTCAGATTTGGATGCACCGATATACCTATTTGACTCATTCCTTTCCAAACGAAGGTTGCCATGTTTTCAAACTGGCCGCTGTGCCTGCGCCTCTGACGTCTAGCGTCTATGTCCAAACAGCAGGAAGCTTTGACCTCTGCAGATCAAACTGCTCCATTAAAGGCACAAGGGGGGCGGGGGGGGCGTTTTATTCCCTGTCACCTGACAACCCCACTCAACTCCCTTCTGTGTTATTTCTCATCTCTTTGGGCAAGCTTGGAGACCACAATATTTATTTATGTAAATAGAAGGTCGCTCCATTGTAATCAGCTTCCCACTCCTTGCCTGAGTCATTCATAAGCATAGTTGCTACATCTCTGGAGGAAGAAAAACGGCAAACTCAGTGATTATCAGGGCGGTTTGAACCCGGGGGGGGGGGGAGCGGGAGAGATTTCTTCAACAGCTGGATGGGTTTAGTGAAGGAAAAAAACTAGGCCCATCCTAATCCAGATTATTCAGCGTTAAACAGCTTTTGAGAGAATAAAACTGCTATAGGCATGTTTGCAGATCAGCCCCTTTGCACCGTGGCAGGGGACCCGGGGAGAAAGAGGTGCTGCTTTCACCCACTTTTGTATCACAGGCTGCGTCTGACAGCGTTTCCTTATTTAATCCCATCGAAGCCCTCGCTCCCATATTACATCAGGTCAACTTTATCTCCATTGCAGCAAATGTAACAGCAGGGTATATTTTACCTTATGCGTAGGGGCTGGGGCTTTGCTTTGTTTTGCTTTTCTACAGTACTGGAGCAGAACCATACCAGGAAATCATGATGCCTGACAAGGCCTCTCCTCCTCCCAGAGGGAAGGGGTTGGGAGCGGGAGCAGCTTCCTGCTGGGGCAGGGAGGCGTGCTCAGCTCCCTGCGCCTGATTGCCTCTGCTGCCACGCCCAAGCCTCCCAGCCGACCAATAGGCGGGGCTGGTGGGCGGGGCTAGCCGCATTTAAACAGCCGCGGCAGCGCTCAGCTCCCAGCCTGTTCCTGCTTTCTTCGGATCTTCCTGCCTCCCTCCCTCCCTCTTAGGTCAGCTTCTTCTTTTGCGTATTGACCTTGCCATGGACTTTGGTTTGTTGCCTTGGTCGCCCAAGGGGCCTGGTAGGACTTTTTTATCCATTTGGCAAATTGGCACCAGCCTCTTGGTTTTTCCGCCTACCTCGTAGCAATTCGTCACAACTTTCTGGTATTGGCGGTTAGGCATTGGAATATGTGTGCTGTGTCGGAGGATTGGGTATGGGCCATCATCTACCCCTCCTCTTATGGGTATTCCGTTAAAGGAATCCGGCGGTCGTGGATCCTGTCCCATGCCCTGCTGGTGGCTAGGGCCATGGCACGACCCCCGGTGACATTATGGGGGAGCTTCCAGTTGTATTTGCATCAACAAGCTCCTCCCATTGGCTGTTAACCCTGATATGACTCCCATGGAGTCTTGTATTGCTGTTTCATCCAATGCCTAAGCCAATACTACTCACATGCTGTAACCAATAAAAGTTGCGGCCTAATTTTGCCCATTAACCTAAAATAATGTGTCTTTGTGTCTTATTTTAATCCTATGCAGGTGGCAGGTCCTCGACTCACAAGAGGACCTTGCTGGAACAAGGGTCCTGCATCCTGTTCTCACCGTGACTGGCCATCAGGTGCCCCAATGGGAGGCCCACAAGCAGGACTCGAACACAAGAGCCTTCTCCCGTCCGGTGGCTTCCAGCAACTGCCCTTCATAGGCATTGCTGTCTCTTACTGTGGAGGTAGAGCTTAGCCATTCATGCCTAGTAGCCCTTGAAAGCCCTCTCCTCCTTCATGAATTGGTCTAATCACATTGGTCTAAAGATCACTGCAGATGGTGACAGCAGTCACGAAATTAGAAGACGCCTGCTTCTTGGGAGAAAAGCAATGACAAACCTAGACAGCATCTTAAAAAGCAGAGACATCACCTTGCCAACAAAGGTCCGTATAGTTAAAGCTATGGTTTTCCCAGTAGCGATGTATGGAAGTGAGAGCTGGACCATAAAGAAGGCTGATCGCTGAAGAATTGATGCTTTTGAATTCTGGTGCTGGAGGAGACTCTTGAGAGTCCCATGGACTGCAAGAAGATCAAACCTCTCCATTCTGAAGGAAATCAGCCCTCAGTGCTCACTGGAAGGACAGATCCTGAAGCTGAGACTCCAATACTTTGGCCACCTCAGAAGAAGAGAAGACTCCCTGGAAAAGACCCTGATGTTGGGAAAGATGGAGGGCGCAAGGAGAAGGGGATGACAGAGGACGAGATGGTTGGATAGTGTTCTCGAAGCTACCAGCATGTGTCTGACCGAACTGCGGGAGGCAGTGGAAGACAGGAGTGCCTGGCGTGCTCTGGTCCAGGGGGTCACGAAGAATCAGACACAAACAACTAAACAACAACAAGAAGGTTGGAGGCCACCATTGCCTCCTGCAGGAGCGAGTTCCAGAGTTCAGCTCTGCATTGCGTGAAGAAGTCCTTTCTTCTGTCTGTCCTGAATCTTCCAACATTCAGCTTCATTAGAAGCCCACAAGTTCAAATATTTATGAGAGAAGAAGCAAAACTTTTCTCTATCCACTTCCTCTGTGCCAGGCATCACTTTATGGTATATCATGTCTCCTCTTACTTGCCTTTTCTCTAAACCAAGCTCAAATGCTACAGCCTTCCTTCTCCCCCTTGATCATGAAGACCTCCTCCAGCCTTTAAAGCAACCTTGCCCAAACTGGTGCCCTCCAGATGTTTGGGACCACAACTCCTCATCAGCCTCAGCAAGGGCCATAGCTCAGTGGCAGAGCATCTGTTTCCCACGCAGAAGGTTCCAGGTTCGAATCCTGGCCTCGGAATGTCCCCCATTTGAAACCTGGAGAGCTGCTGCCAGCAGTGCTACCAGTACTCAGAGAGATGGACCGGAGCTCTGATGGCACATAAAGCAGCTTCGTTTATGTGCCCAGACATCACAGTGATATGGTGTTCAGAGAAGATCTGTGTTGGCTGGGGCTGATGGGAGTTGTAGTCCAAATAAGGGTGGGTGGAGGAGAATCAGCTTGGGCACTGGGCTGTGCTAGATTTTAATTTTATTTAACTTAATTTGCAGTTACACCTTTCTCCAGATGGCCCCAGGGCAGGTTCCAGAATAAAAACATTAATGGAAAGTATGAAACATTTGACAAAATCCAGGTAACCTCCTACACACAAAAGCCAAGCATTAAAGACAAGGCAACAGTCAACAGCTAAAGCACAACAAAGTACAAATAAGCAGAACACGTGCCCTGCAGATATTTTAAGTCCTACCAAGGCCCTGGGCAAAGAGGGCTGCCTTCAGTTGCAGTCAGCATTAAGCAGTAAGGGAAGGGCCCACCAGAGGTGTTTTTCTTTCCTATTTTATTAGGCCAAACTGGGGCAGCTGATCTTGGCTGATCCTGCTCATTGGTGCCTTGTTTATCTGTTTCCACTTGCTTCATGGAGAGGAGACAGCGAAGAAAGCAAAAATGCAACCAGCATAAACGTGACTCTTATTTTCTTTCCGTGGTTGTCTCCAAGAGATTGGAAGACAGCGTCCAGGGGAGGCCTACAACCTTGATAACCAAGAACATAAATGAGATGCACCCGGGAGGAAGTTCTCCTGCAAAAGCCTCATGAGAACATACAGGAATTGAGGTTGTACTCAGCTAAGTTCCACTCAGAGAAGACCCATTGAAAGGTAGCCAACTAGCCACGCCCATTAACTTCAATAAGACTAGCATTGGATGCAACCCATAGGCAGGAACAATTCTGGGTGGATCAGCTCCCATCCATCACAATTTTTCGTCTTGAACTACTTGCACTCCTGGGACCTCAGCCCTGCAACTATATGGACAATAAATGCTTTTTAAAAAATCCTAACATTTTCAGAATTAATCTAGATTCTATACCAGAACTAATTTCCTGTAGGGACACTTCCTTGGGAGAGACACTGATTTTCAAACAGTGAAAATCTGGACAGAAAAATTGTTGAGTTTTTTGGGGGGCAAAGTTGTTGAGTTTTTGGTTTTTGGCCAAAGTTGTTCTTTGGCAAATTTGAGAGAGAGAGAGAGAGAGTTTTTGAACTGTTTTTAAAGAAAATTGCCAAAAACGACACTGCCAACATGGGTTGCCATGCACCCGGATTTTTCCAGACTTTTTAGCGATTACCACCCGGACACTGCTTCCGACAGTGTCCAGGAAATTCCAGACATATGGGAAGCCTAGACATTGGACTCTGTGAGACTGACATCAGCGTAAACATCCCTAAGATCAGGCTTCTAGTCATTGGCCCTAGCGGTTGTTACAGGCCACATCAAGACAGAAACCCTAAAAGGTCCTTACTGGGAAAAGTTATTCCATACTTCTAAGAAAACTTGGTTAGGAACATTTCACTATTTATTTCTTGCAGTGTTGTTAATAGAGATGGAACTTTAAAGAGTACTGTACAGAGGAACGCATTTTTTTGCTGGGCCACATGTGAATATTGTAAGCAGACAAAATCCAGCATTCATTTGAACCAAAGGCACTTAGAGATTCCAATTGCATCCTTTAGCTTAGACCTGACTTAAGCATTGACCCGGTGCTGGCCTGAACGTTACCTCTTTGGAAGAGAGTCGGCAAGTCTCCACCACAAGACGCAGCCCACTTTAATCTCCAATAAGTATAAATTTCTAATGCGGCAGTAAAAGAGTCCACCTTATATCCTGAAGGAAAGTACTCTGACAAGGGAACTCTGTGTCTGTTTCCAGCATAAAAGGGTTCAGCCGCAGGTTTACTTTGGATGAGAAATTCAGGAGATGCAAAAACGTGGCTTTGACATCTCATACCTCCCTACTTCGTTTCTCTTGCAAAAAATAAATAGGAACTTGCCAGGATCTTTTTGGTTGATTCCTCTTGCTAGCAGAAGTGCCCCTACCTTGAAGCAAGGGGGGGGTGAACAACATGCGTATAGTGTTGGCCAATTTGATCACTTGGTTAGCTGCATTCCTTATAACTACTTATTAGGTGGATATTTGTCAGGCGGGTGTATTAGGTAGATCAGGGGTAGGGCACTTGTATGGTCGGGGATGATAGGAATTGTAGTCCGGGTGGATGTGCAAGATAACAAAAGCATTATGGGAAATGATTTATAATGAGCTGAAAAAAATGTTTAAAATAACGTTTGTAAAAATAAACACAGAGGCTTTTCTACTAGGAATTTTTGGTGCAGAGCAACTAAAGGAACAGAAACAACTATTTATGTACGCGACGACTGCAGCGCGGGTACAACTGGCCCAAAGATGGAAAGAAGACAAAGTACAGACCAGAGACGAATGGCTGATGAAGATGATGGACTATGCCGAGATGGTGAAACTGACCAGGAAAATCAGAAACCAGGGAGAGAAGAAGAACAAGAAGGAATGGGGGAAATTTATAATGTATTTAAGAGAACACTGTAAACAACTAAAAACTTGGGCAAGATTTGAGTAATGCTTGTAATGTACTAAAAATTATGGTTAAAATGGACTATTTAAAAGAAATAATAGAGAAAATAAGAGAAGCAGTTGAAAAAAGATTGTTAACGGTAACCATGGATGAGGGGAAGGGAGTTAAAGGATTCAGGGAATGCTAAATGATGACGTTGATGTTTAATGTCTGAATTTTAATTTGCAATGTAAAACTTAATAAAAAAGATTTGGGGGGGTGATAGGAATTGTAGTCCACCAAGATCTGGAGGCCACAGGCTCTCCCCTCTCCTGGCCTACAGCAACCCAGGAAGATCCAGGTTCAGACCCCTGTTCAGTCCAGTCATTCTATCTCAGCCTGACCAACTTTGCAGGGTTGTTGTGGAGATACAGGGTGGATGACCACAACACACTGATTTCCGTGGAGAAAACAATAATAATAATAATTTCACATATTGCCCTTCCAAAATAAAGACTGAGCTTGTCATATGTATGAGAGTTTATAGTTGTGTGATTGCCTTTGCAAACCCGTTGAGGCTGGCTGTGTCTCTGTGGCGAAGGTTTGCCTGGATTTGCCCCCACGCTGTGTGCAAAATGTCCCTGTGAATGGGGAAAGCAAACCAAGGCCTCCCCTGTCTCCCCTTCCCCTCCTTCACAGGTTAAAGACCTAGCAATTTCCTGAGGGTATGAATCACCTTCTGCCAGCCTCCGGATAAAAAGCTGAAAACCAGGACTGGAGATTAGCAAGCCCTGGGAAATCCTCGGAGGGCCACCCCTCAAGGATCAGGTGTGACTCAGCTCAGCAGGAATGCCAAGCATTTGGCCTGCCAACTGTACCTGTGTCCTACTTCCTGCATGGGAGGGTGTTCCCGTTCTTTGGTGCACTGTGCCAGGTATCTGGGTTTGTTCTGAGAACTGGCTCAGCAACAAAGGACGCCACAGTCCCTTCCCCATCCCCCCCCCCAAGTGCTGCAGAGAGAAAGACAGCAGAGAACTGCTAGGAGGTTTCCTTCACCAGAAGGGCTCGCAAGGTGCAGTGCTGCCAACATGTCGAGGGGTCTCCACTTCACAGAACCATGGAACTGTAGAGCTGGAAGGAATCCAAAAGGCCATGCAGTGCAATGCAATGAATCAATTACAGCTTCAACCAGCTTTCACTGCCAGATTGTGGCTGCCTTATTGTTTCTGTTGCTATAAATAATCATTCTCTGGTCTGTTGCACTTGGGCACTGCACACACAAGCACACCTCAGCATTCAATGTAAATTAGATAAATAAAGGTAAAGGAACCCCTGACCATTAGATCCAGTCGCGGACGACTCTGGGGTTGCGGTGCTCATCTCGCTTTATTGGCCGAGGGAGCCGGCGTACAGCTTCCGGGTCATGTGGCCGGCATGACTAAGCCGCTTCTGGCGAACCAGAGCAGCGCACGGAAACGCCGTTCACCTTCCCACCGGAGTGGTACCTATTTATCTACTTGCACTTGACATGCTTTCGAACTGCTAGGTTGGCAGGAGCAGGGACCGAGCAACGGGAGCTCACCCCGTCACGGGGATTCGACCCACCAACCTTCTAATTGGCAAGTCCTAGGCTCTGTGGTTTAACCCACAGCGCCACCCACATCCCATAATTATATAAATAGACACACATTTAAAAAAACACAATAAATGTGCATTATCCAGAATGTGATTATCCAGAGCTTCCCGCCCTACATTATTGTGGCATTTGAATTGTGCTTGAGAATAAGAAAGCGAGATCTTGTTGCAGTGCTTTCCTATGCATGTTTTGGGGAAGTAAATTCTATGTTCAGTGAAGTTTGCTCACAGATAGGATTGCAGCCTAGAAAAACTGCCTGTATTATTGTTATTTTTATTAAAGTTATTTATAACCCACCTTTTCCCCTGATGAGACTCAAGGTGGCTTACAGATAAAAATAAGAAGTGCTAAAAACATCGTAGAACAATAATCAGAAAACAATTAAACATGGATAGAATTAAAACTACATACATATATAAAATCTATTAAAGTCATACAAATAATTACAATAAAAACAGCACGGCACCAGCCCTTTTATTAAAAGCAGCCAGTTCCCCAAAAGCCTGTTGGAACGGAAAAAATCTTCGTCTGCCTGTGGAAAGACAACAAGGAGGGAGCCCAGCTAGCTTCTCTAGGGAGGGAGTTCCAAAGTCTGGGAGCAGCCTCCAAGAAGTTTGAAAAACACTGCAGACTTTAGTTTCTTTGTTTTTCCAGAACTTGATTTTAGAGTTCACGCATCAAGCAGAAAGTGTCTGGATGCCCCCTGAAAAGTCTGCAGGGAGAGCAATCAAGACATGCTATTTGGACCTGCTATCAAACTACTTAATTTGGTGCAACATAACTGAAATTAATGAAATCAGG